ATATTATCTTATTGAGAAGATAATCATATTTTTGTTAAAAGTAAAACACGTATAAATTATCTTATTGAGAAGATAATTGTAATTCATTAGTCATAAATCTTGCACATATTACCTTATTCAGAAGATAGTCAGTCATATAACCCTCTTGGACCTATAAAAGTAAACAATTGCCGTGAACACAGTCACTATTACCATTTTAAAATAATTACATACGCATAATCTTAAAACGGTAACAATATAAAATAATTTTTGATTTATCAAGATTTTGATAAATATTTATAAAAAAATTTAACAAGAAAAATATAATATATTTTTCAAGATATTCTAATTATTTTGCTAAATATTTAATATTATAATTTTTAGTAAATATATTTATAAAAAAATTACTATTATATATTTAATTAATTATTTATACTTATTAAATAATTTATTCTATTATATTTAATTTTTATATTTATTATTAAGATAAACTATAAAAGTTCTTTATATAATAATTATTAAAAATATAAAGAGAATTTATAAATATTTGTAAAATAGAATAATTAATATTATTTTAATAAAAAATATTATTTAAAAATACTAATGATAAGTTATTATAATATTTATACTTATATTAATAAAAAATATTTCAAATATGAAATATAATTTTCTTATATATTATCTAATTTTTATTATAAAAGATAATGAAATAGAAATTTAAAATTAATAGAATAATATTATCTAATAAATTAATATGATATCAAACTTTTAAATCTTTAAATTATTTGAATTATTAAATATGTTCAGAATTAATCTTGAAATACTAATTTAAATATCAAATTAATTTTATAAAATTTAGATTTTTATGCTAATTTTTTTAAATATTTAAATACTTCATAAAAAAATTTATTTAATTTTCAAGATATATAATTTTGTAATTATTTAAGAATATATTAAAATAATATGCAAAATTTATTTTGATATTTTAGAAGAATCTTTAATTTTAATATAATAATTAATAATATATTATATATAAAGTTATTCAAAATAATTCATAAGTATTATTAATAATTATCTTTCTATAAAAGTTTTTATCTTAAAAATATCTATAAAATATCTAAGAATATCTATATAATTTATAATTAAATAAAAAGATTCTTTTTTAAATCAACTAGTTTTATATTCTTTATATTTTAATTAGTTTAATATTATTCAATTCTATTATTATAATTATGAATTAAAAGATATTTAATTTATTTATTATGTATTTTTAATATAGATATCAAATTAACAAATACTTATTTTTATCTTATATAGTTAAGTTATAAATAAGAAAAGAATGATAAATATATATTTAATATAATAATTTTTGAATCAATACTCTTTTTATTATGAATATTCTTTTTTTAATAAAATAAAATAAAATAAAATAAATATTATTTTTAATAAGACTTTAGAAATATTATAATAAAATATTATAATAAAATAAAAGATTTATATATAAATATTATATTATTATGATAATACTTATGAATATTATAAAAATTATTTATATTAAGAATAATTAAGCTCTTAATTTGTAAAAAAATTTATATATATTAGTTATTATTTGTGAATTATAAGATATAAAGATATTTATACTTATATTTTTCAATAAAAACTCTTTTATTATTATTATATATACTTTTACATATCAAGTTTTTATCTTGTAATAGTTTCACATCTTATTATTAAGTCTATATTAGTTAAAGTTTTTATTATTAATAAAGATATTTTAGATATATCTAGCAAAAGCTTAATCTTTATCTTAATACTATTAATAAATTTATTATTGAATTCTATTAAAAAATAGCAAAATAAAATTAATTTTTTCTTATTTTTTTATTGATTATATAATTCTTTTCTTGTGAATTAGTTCTAGCTACTAATTGATTAAAAAAAATCTTTTAATAATAGATCAGTTTTCTTAAGTATTTTCTTGAATTCTTTTGAATTGAGAATAGATCTTTCATTATATATATATATATATTATCTTGTATATAACATTCTTACTATTAATTTAATTTTCTTATTGAGAGAGATTAATTCTAAAAAATAATAATAATTCATATATTAATCTCACTATAATAATGAAGAATTTTTCTAAAAAAGTAATTAAAAACTTAATACTAAATTTACTTAACTAGTTTTGTTTCATCAAGTTCTGTACATAATTTATGATATGCAAATTCTAGTTTCTAAAATTCAGATTGAGAGTAAATAATATCATTTTATAATATATATGATCTATCTTGAAATTTTCTTATATTCTCTTTTGAAATTCTTTCTGATGATTGTGAATAATTGGGTAAATTAACATATTCTGAATTGTTATCAGTTTTATATAGACAATAATAATATATTATTGCTCTATATTATAGTTCAAAGAATTTGATTAATTATGATAGTGCCTTCTTGATATTTATTTTTGTATCGTGCTAAGCTGTTGAAGTATAAAACTGATATTTTGAATGCGAATATATATTGTTAGTTTTAGATTTTTTTGCATTTACTATTAACTTATTGCAATGTTTTTCAACACAAAGCCTTGCCAACCAAGTCCAGATCTTGACTCAAGCTTGGTATCTTCACTTATTTCAATACAATAGATGCAACATGCTGTTTATAATCACAGATGACACTCTCTTGGCTCTCCAAATCACAATGTCATTGAAGAAGGTTAGATCTTCGTAGGAAGTTTCTTGTACAGACATTTTGCTTTTTCTGATAATAGAAATGCTTATTTATAACAGAGCAAAAATAAACGCTTCTTAGCTAGTTTTCAAATTACCTTGCTATTTCTCGAATTATTTTAACAGTCTATAAAATGGAAGGTATACTTAATAATTTTTTTGATCGCAACCTTTGACAATGCGTCCTCGTGACTATCAAGTCGTTTTTGTTACCAAGAATATCGTGTAACATTTCAGCAGATCATCCAATCAGATTAAAGCCCGCTATGCTGGAAATAATATAACTAAGTTATTTTTACTTATCGTTATACTTTTGTTAGCGCGCTTATGACAATTGGAAAATCGCGGAAAAATGGAAAATCCCGTGCATGTTGTAATTTATTATTCCGTACAATTTTCTCACTATCATCTGATTATGAAGATAAAATGCGTGAGAAAATAAATGATGCGTGAGAAAAAATAAATTTAGATTTTTTCGTTAATTGCTTTGCTTTTTATTTAATAAAGTGATAATGGCTAGCAAAAAACGTATCGACTCCTACACGTACTTGAGTGGCTTTGGAAACCATTTCACTTCAGAAGCTTTACCAGGCGCACTTCCACAGGGTATCTATGAAACTAGTTTTTTCTGTCGAAATCTTTATATAGAAACATTATTTTGTTAATGCATGTTTATTTAATGAAGGACAAAATTCACCACAGAAATGTCCTTATGGACTATACGCGGAACAACTTTCAGGTACAGCTTTTACTGTCGAAAGAAAACAGAATCAATTCAGGTAATTTAAAATAGTTCACACTATTTTATGGTAGTGATTGGTTTAATTTTTCAATTTCTAAAAATATAAAGTTGGCTATACCGTATTCGGCCTTCAGTATGTCATGAACCTTTCACGAAGATAACCGAGTCAACGAATCTTCGCGGATCTTTCTCAAGACATGATACCCAATTCATTCCAAATCAACTTCGATGGAGTCCATTTCCCTTGCCTAGTGATTCCGAGTCTTTAAATTTTGTGTTTGGCTTGAGTACGCTCGCAGGAGCCGGTGATCCAATTTTGAAAAATGGGCTCGCAATTCACATTTATTGCGCAAATAAAAATATGGAGGACATGGCATTCTATAATTCAGACGGGGATTTCTTAATTGGTCGGTTCATTTTTGTTAATTTCTAGATTCTTTTTTTTTATTATTAATACATTTTTTGATGCATGTAGTTCCTCAACACGGTCGCCTTGATATTTTTACTGAATTCGGTCGTATGCTTGTATCCCCCAATGAAATTGCTGTGATTCCTCGCGGTATTAAATATTCTGTATCATTGCCAGATGGCCCAAGGTGATAAAATAACCCGAATAATTAATGAGCATTTATTTCTTTTGTTACAACACGCCAATTAACCATTAACTAGTGTTATAGTCGTGGTTATATTTTAGAAGTATATGGCCACCATTTCGAATTGCCAAACCTCGGGCCGATTGGTTTGTATTTCAAGAATATTTTTATATATTAAATAGACGATTACTTATTTCTCTTATTTTAGGAGCAAATGGTCTTGCCAACCCGCGAGATTTTTTGACACCAACTGCAGCATTTGAAGAAGAAAAGGAAGGAAACTGGTCGATTGTGAACAAATATGCGGGCAAATTGTTTATAGCAAAGCAGGTAAAATAATAGATTCATTGTTTTGTTTTGCAAAACAACAGAAAAGTAAACATGATGATATTATTTTATAGGATCATTCACCTTTCAATGTGGTAGCGTGGCATGGTAATTACGTTCCTTATAAGTATGATCTTGCGAATTTCGTCGCTATCAACTCCGTTTCTCGTGATCATATGGTAAATAAAAAACGGCACGATTGTGTATTGGCTTTTTTTGATTTTAAATTATTTGATTTTTTACGTAGGATCCTTCGATTTTTACCGTTCTCACTTCAAAATCAGCATTCCCTGGCACAGCAATCGCCGATTTTGTTATCTTTCCTCCTCGTTGGGCGGTCCAAGAACACACAGTAAGTGCTAAGCTCAAGATAATTGAATTCAATAATTTGTTGCAAGAGTATGATGATACCCGTATTTAGTTCAGACCACCGTATTTCCATCGAAATGCGATGTCGGAATTTATGGGATTGATTCTTGGGTCGTATGAAGGCAAGGCAGGTGGATTTCTACCGGGTAGTGGAAGGTATAAAATCGTTGGTAGTTTGATGATATATATTATGAATCACAAGTATTAATAGTTTTATTTTATAGTTTGCATAGCCACATGACTCCACACGGACCGGATGCAACAACTTACGAAAAGGCGTCAAATGAGGAATTGAAACCTGTTCGCGTTGCAGACGGAACTATGGGTAATTGATTATCTGATTCGTTAATTCTTTTTAATATACAATATAACGAACTTATTTTTTATCTAGCATTCATGTTCGAGTCTTCTTTGATGCTTGGGATTACACAATGGGGTTTATCTGAACAAGTGCATGTTCAACCTGATTATTGGAAAGCATGGCAAAATCTAAAAAGTAACCTTTTCTATGATATTGAAAAGCATGAAAAACTTTATTTTCCATGATTCATAACAGACACTTATTTATATCTCTCTGAGATAAATAATAATACGGTAATTTGTTTCTGAAAAACCGAGAGAGATGTACTAATTTAGTATGAAAGACAAAATTGTACAATTAATATAAATATCAAAAAAAGGATACCGATACATTGTTGTAGAGATTAATTAAATCTGAAAGTTGTAGATGAGTGAATGACGATATTAAGTTTCACCTGCCGGCTAATCGCGAAAACCTTAACACATTTCCACTTCGTATGTTCAATTCTTGTAAACGAGCATTATCATCTAACAAGCGATGACCTTCAAACATTAAACAATAAGATTTCCAAATATATTTCCTGAAATTAAAAATTATTTATGATTTTTTTTAATATTTGCAATGAAAATCAAATTCCGTTTTACCAGCAAATCTTTTTGTTTCGTCTTTTACGTTGTCTCTTTGTGTTTCCAATTATACCACTGCCATTATTATTATTTACCCTCTTAACTAAAGAGGCGTTATTGTTCTTCAGCGCTTTTTCTTCAATTTTTTCTTTCTTTTCCTCCTCATCTCGTTCTATGCGCATTTTTATCATATTCTTTAAATCCTTTATCGTAGCATTTTGTTTTACTACCAGTACTATATCATGTATACGGGAATAAATTTATAGTGATACTCTGAAAGCCGAAAACACAAAAGCACTTGAATGGATTTACCCAAGGGGTCTAAACCACCACGTTCCACACGTATCTCAAACGCTGTTCCTTGTTCCAATGCGATCAAAGTATCCACCTGTTCAACGCTTACTCGTTCTAAAAGTTCTAATGGCTTCACTGTGTTCACAGAAGCGCCATTATTAGTACTACCTACACCTTCCTCAGAATTTTTTCGATCAACACCAGCCAATTTTCTCAGATCAGACAACAGTGGGTCTCGAAATAATTCCAAGAGCATCTTGTGTGTTTCGCCGAGATCTAACGAAGGTTGAACTTGACTACCCTGACTACTTTCATTCGAAGAAGAAACCAAAGAACTATTATCATACAAGTCGGAATCCATTATGTCCAAGTTTTACAAAAATGAATGGATAGAATTTTTATTTGATTTGAAGATCCAACTTGATTGGTCAATAATATAACAAACACAAAAGGAGTATAGGTTGCTTAAATTAACGAAAGTCGCGAAATTTGTTGACATTTTTGTGTGAAAAATGAATCCGTGGAGACTCGATACCTTCAAAAATCTCTACAATGACATTATCCGTGCAAGAGAACTACCTTCTGCTGCCTCTATAAGAGATTTAAGCCACAAGCTACAAACTGAAAAACATTCATTTCTAATTCTTTTGGATTTTCCGCGAAAGACAGGCAAGAGAGACGCTTTCAAAAAGGGTGGGTCGCACTTTTGGTAACCTTTCTCATTACTTGTCTTTTTTAATGCGGGGAAAGAGTTACTGTGAGCAAATATGAGGCCTTGATAACATACTTTAATTAGATTAATAGTTTTGGCTTCGAACAAAAAAAAAGCTCTACTAGACTCCCGGTTTCCTTATTCTATGGATCCACGGCTAACTTAAGTGCACCTCTATTTCGGAAATCAATTTCAATTTCCAATCATTTACTACTTAGACCCGAACAGTGAAGTTCTAGAATTCGAATTCATCGGCACAAAGTACTTGATAAGACCAGAGTTCGCTGATCAGATTTTGTTATTCTCTGATATTTTCAATATTGATGAATATTTGGCGGCGCACATATTACTAAGGTCCAATGAGAAACAAGCATCGATTTACCAAAAGAGTGCAGTCGAAACGGCCATGATCCATTTTCTCTCAGAACGCAGTTTTATGCTTGCGTGTCTTGAGTTGATTATTCAGGATGCGTATGATAAGGAATTACCTCCGGATCTTAGAGATATGTATTCACGATTCGTGCAAATTTTGATTAAGGAATACGAATCGAATCTGGCTTTGTCCGGTTCTCTCGCTTTGCATGTATTAAAAACCATTCAATTATTGAAAACACAAATTGATCAATTCAACACCGATATGAAGACACCAATGCAACCGAATGGTACTCTTACTCCACTTCAACGCGTATCTTTCGAATCTGCAAATGATGCTATTAATGCTTTGAGTCAACAGTACAGGATATTAGGACGCGTGCTCTATCATTTTTCATACAATTTTCAGCTTAATCCCGAAGAAATAATGAAAGTTACAGAATTGGTGCAGATAATAGATTATCATAATATAATAATACCTCATCTAGTGATGTCCTTACTGGCATCAATCGATATTGCCAAAGAGAACGCTACTAATCATATAGTGTCATTCAAAAGATATGAAGCTTTGAAAAATGACCAAAATTTTGTAAAGAATTTTAACAAGTTGCTCGTTAATGACGTGCAAAGGAACGGAAATGGTTGGAAAATCAAAGGAATTCATGGGATAATTCTCTTACAATGGATACTATTTATATGGGAGATACTTCCACGGAATCCATCGTTGAGGAAGGAATTAAACCTTACGGAAGACCAATTGCTTCAATTAGCAAATGAAGTCATTCAAAAAGATGTTTTTCAGTTGATAATAAAATATTTCTTGGAATTCCAAATCGTGGACGATGTACTTGATGAGGATGATTCTTTATCACCGCTTCAGAGTAAGATATTTTCCAAAGATCCAGCTCAAAAAATAACTGGTTTCTCGATTGAGGATGAATTTCAAGACAGTGTTATAAAACAGCTTCAGTCACTTGTTAGATCCTTTATCTCGAAAATGAGCCAATGTTTACAACAAATAAAACGTCGTGAAGAGGATGCTATTCAGGCAGCAAAACTGCCGCAGCAACCTATATCGTCGAAAGCTAAAGACACTGCTTCGGACTTGCGCCATGATTTAGCTGCCTTCTTCTTCTTAGTCGCTATATTGTATAGGACACCAGATAGCGGACTGAAATTCTGGGAAAATAGATCTTTTCTAAAATTTGGGGCAAGCGTGAGTGAAGCAAGAATGATTCGTGCCTATTTGGAAATGTTATGCTCCCTTGCGACCGGCCCAAAAAGTAGTGAGCAGGCAGATAAATTTCTTTCAATTGAGGATCAGAATACGGAATGGTGCTCTTGGAAAATGCTTGATAAAGCATTGGTCTTATATGGCTCACCGCCGGCGATCAGAGTTTCTCCAGGAGCATCTGGCATGCAAAGCCAAACCGACAATAAGATTCGACCGGACGAAAGCTCCATATTAAGCGCTTTTATTCGTGTTCTAAGTCAAGTTGTCCAATACTCGGACACAGCACGGAATCGATTTCAAAAGGAGAATATTGTGACCAAACTATTCACTCTATTGAATCGTGAATTAATGCCTAAATTGAAAGCAGCAGCTATCAATTCAATAGCCGCATTTTGCAGATCAATCCCTGGGAATGTTAATAATATTGTATGGGAAGTCTGGAAATTTTTAGAGAATAGTCAAATTATTCACACCATTCCAAAGCAGACATCACCTGGCTCTAGGCCTCCGCCTACTACGCCTGCTGGGCCAGCAGCTGGTGGTGGTGGTGGTATGAAAAAAGAGCTCACGGAGGCCGAATCCGTGCATCAAACTTACCCGCAAACTTTAGCTTTCTTGAATTTAATAAATACATTAACTCAAGTTGACCATGAGCGTGCAGGTTTGCTTTTTGGTTTCCCTGCAGCCGCTTCGAGTATCCCCTTGGATCTTGGCTCCTCATACCGAACGCCTGGAATAACACCTTATATAGGCTATGTTATTGACACTGTATTTTTAAAAGCACCTTTGAGAAGTTATCGAAATCCTTTGGAGAAATGGAAAGTTATGGCAAATTCCTTGGAAATTATTGAAAAATGTTTGCTTTCATTTGAGTTGACTGGATCTTTATTTCATAATGTTGGTACTCAACAATCTGCTACGGGACAAGATGGATCTGGCCGAAACCAGAGTTTGGAATCTTCTATGAATGTTGATATTGTTCGTTTCTTGAGTCTTCACCCAGGATTTGATATAATGAAGCGTCTTTTATCAAAATCAGGACTCATTGAGGTTATGTTTGACTGCATAAATGACGCTGGTGTTAAGTTGTCTGAGAATAGCGAAAAAACTCCATTTTTCAAAGAAGCAGTTTTACGTGTTTTAAGAATTATCGATATGGCATCTCAAAAAGAAGCAAGGTTTTCGCGCATATTGATTCCTTTGGTTCGTGAAAATATTCCTGGAAGTTTCGAGAATGTTTTTCTAAATCAAAGTAGAATTGTCATACAGATCGCTTTACTTTTGATATGTGGTTATGATGATATATGTCTATATGCTGTTAAAATATTATCACGCCTTAGTCGATATAAAGCATTCAACGATGTAGACAGGACTGACGGCCGTGGCATCAATAGACTTGTAAAAATACTTTCATCATCTGATGAATCTGATCGAATACTGTCAGGATTTGTTGACCATTTGGAAAACGGCAGGGGCGAAAACGACCTTAACACTATAATTGACTATGAGGAAGATAGTATTATGCAAATAATAGAAGGAACTCAGTTAGGTCACTTTCTAGAAGAGAATATTGACGTTTCTTCACAATCGGTGAGGCTTGCCATTGCGGATTTGATTTTGGATAATCTGAGACCAGGTATAAGGTCACCAACAATTGCACATTTTCTTCTTGGATATGAATTTGAAGGAGCAGGACGCAAAGCAACGATCCAATTTACTGATGCATATGATACAAAAAGAAGCTGCTTGGATTTAATTTTAAATTTATTTGGACATTCGAATAAAGAAGCAGAGTTAGATGACGACGAAGCAAGAATTTCTGAATTTGCTCAAGATAATCCTTCTCTTGCCGCTCGATTCTATGAGATAATATATCGACTTTGTTCAGATAGTAGAACTTCGGAACCTACAATGATACATCTTCGAACAATCAATTTTTTTGCCTCTCAATTTAAATTATTACCTATTCACATCGCAAAACCTCAATCTTCTGAGAGAGTTGATGATAGCACTATTATCAAACTTGACAATACAAAAATGAAAATCGATTTTAATACCGTCGCTTTTAACCTCGAACAGAAAACTTGGCTATTTAAAATTCTAGCTCTTGAGCTTCTGAGATGTCAAATATACTCTCAAACTGCAAGACTGTTGTCTTTGATGCTTGGAAGTGATTCAGTACAAGAGTGGGACCATGAACTGAGAATGGTTGAAGAACCCGATGACTCAATAGTATTGGATGGCCAGGATGAGAGCCAATCGATGGCGAAACTCTTAGAATTACTTGACATGCTAGATCATCAATGGATAGATGATGAATGGGCTATTGGTAATTTTCAAAGGCGCTATTTTGATCGGCTAGATATTGATACCTATCCAACAAAGAATAAACGAGGCATTCCTATCTATGCTATCCGAGATATTTATACAGCTTTACGATCGTTAGCTAACAATTTGAGAAAACGTGGAGCTGTTGCTAATATGCAAGAGATGGAGCAAGAATTTCATATGATCTTAAGATTTTGCTATTCACATAATCGTCGTACTGAATATGAATCTCTAAAGCTCGAGTGTTTTAAAGGATGGCGTGAAATAATGGATGTTATCATTTATAATCACTATGAAATTCTAAATTTTGACCGGCGAGAACCAATCATTATTGAAATTATTACTGCATTGTTGCCAAAAATAAGAACAAATGAGTACTTAATCACATCGCACATTTTGAGTTATGTACTCGTGTCAGCTATGTCGAAATTGTGTCAAGATCGGCGATCTCAATCCACATTACAAATTGTGACCAGTGACAGCACATTGTCATTAAAATCAAGATTACCTCCTGAAAAACTTCAGGATATTTTCAGATTAATTCTTTATGGAATAATTGCAGGTTATGCAAATACTGAAATGCGAATGAACTTTTATGTTACTTTATATCTATACTTGCAATATTGCAATCCCGAGTTAGATTATCTAATCACATCATCAAATTTCCACGCTATCGGTAATTCAAGGGATATAAGCTCAATATCATTACTTGGAGGTGGCGCGTCAAGGACGTGGGGTGCTTCATCGGCACGTGCTAGTGGTTCTAACCAAAAACTTATTGCAGCCAATTTCGCTATGCTTAAAGAATTGGGCAATCGTTTGCTTAATTTCCTAAGATCTGATGCCTCAGCTGGGCATGTTGCTGTACAATTGTCCGCAATAACAACTTTGAACGCCTTGTGTGATTTATATAAACGTGAAAGAGATAACTCGGTGATTGATTATCTGATAAAAGCTCATTTTATCTCCGAAACGCTACAGGAATTAAAGCGTAGTGATGATTTTTTGAGACATTATTATGGAAAATCAGCAGGTAATGTTGATTATTTCAATTGATTTATGTTTACCATAATAAAACTTATTTTTTAATAAATAGCCGACCAATCAATATTGCACGCGGCATATTTATTTGAGTCAAGGATAGCTTTACTGATTCGTGTTGCTCAACGTCCCGAATTTGCCATTAAACTTTTGAATTTTGGAATTATCGAATATTTGGAAAAAATGACTTTCTTGGGCGAACGTCCAACATACAATAGGACTACAACAGGTTTTTTTTTAATTTAAATCAATTTCATCTGTTTCTCTTATTCAAAACGGATGATGACTTTTATTGTTACATATGTTTATAGATTTACAGGGAAGAACTAGTTATATTCGTTATCATCAACTCTTGTTATGGATACTTCGCTTAGTAGGCTCTATTCTTACAAGTGCTGGTCACAATAACAACATTGCATTAAATAAAGTTTGTTTTTTTCAATATTATTGTAATATTGCTATCTAGAAATAACTTATAATAAATGTATATTTTAGGTCTTAAAATTTATAAATAGTCATCAAGGTGTTTTGGCAGAAATCTTCACCGATTATGTTCCGCCAATATCTCCTGATGATGATGAAATCTGTGTGATTTATCTTCAAGTTCTTTGTGAAGTCGTTCCTATATTTTATTATGTAGGCAATGGAATTGAAGCTTTAGATAAGGACGTGAGTATATTTTCTCCATTATCAAATTATAATATCAAGAAAAAATTTTCAAAATATTCTTTTTGGAAACATTCAGCGTCATGAAAAAAGACAGCCAACTTTTCATAGTTTGTTAAGAGAAAATATAGCACGATATTTTTTCTTTGGTGATTGGTGTTCCCAGATGATGGACGATGAAGAAGAGAAAAGACTTAAAAGTATGTATTTTTTCATCATATATTTGCTTTAATTAATTAATTAATATTAATTATTCATTTTACGATTTTTTTGAATAGATATGCACAAATTTTTGAGACTTCTTAACAAGAACCTTCTAGCATGGAGTTATCGAGTCACCGGATTTATGAGTGGTGAATTATATTTTTTATTTGCTGCATTTCCTATGGTAATTTTTCGTTATTTAAAGTAAATTATTTTTTGGGGTGATAGCTGCATCCGAATTTAGACCTATTTTTACTGCGTCACTAGAAACTGCCAACAAAAGAGATGAGATTCAAACCGAAAGTATGATTCATAAATGAACAACGTTAATTCCTTGAGATTAAAGGTTATTAATAAAAACCATTTTTCACAACAGAGGAACCGGAACTTTCTGCTCTGGTGATTTGTCTAAGAACTTTGGTGGAAGGATTGTTTAATTTGCTGCAAAGGTTTCTTGATCATTCGCAGAAGCTCGGAAACTATAATACAATTTCACAAGCAGACATTGACGAGGTTAATTTCACACAACATTTGCTAAATCTTTTCCATTTTAAAGATATTAATCTTTTTTTTTTAAAAAAAACCTAAAAAGATCTTGGCAAAGATCTCAGAGAACTATGTCCAATTACTCAACAGCACACAACGAAAAACGTTAGCCATTCAAGAATTACACAAAATGCGCCTAAAAACAGCCAGACATATCAACACTTGTCTAAGTAAGCTTTCAATATAAAAGAGAATTTTGCATTTGCTGATAATTGCAATATATTCATTCAACATGACCTATTTTTATTAGATGATGTTGAAATCGCATTACTTTTACTATGGCATCACCTTGAATATTATTTGTCATCTACTACAAGCTTTTCTGAATTTACTGAGCAGCCTATTGGCATGTCTTCCATGATGGCAATAGCTTCCGGAAGCGGTAGTGGCCCACTTGAAAGATTACGGACGGATGCGCAGTTACACTTGAAGCCTTCGTTTGATAAATTAGCTACTCTGGATAAACATCTGGTAATCATGTTTTTTTTGTTAATTACTAGTAATTTATTTAATCTTTTCCTAAATTATACTTGTTATTTCATTAGACAAAAGAAATCATTGACAATTACAAGATGAGAAACACTTATATATCTATGTTACTTCGAAAAATAAATGCAACACTTGGCTCACAAAATTAAGAGATAATTTATTGGATGATATATATAGAAGTTTAATAAAGTTGAAAGGTTGCACTTAAAAATCGTAATTTTTGATGTAATCTGTATAATTTTCGTAATTGTTGTAAAGTTTGTAATTGATGCATCATTCGTAATTGATGTAAAAGTTCGCAATTAATACAAAATAATGAAATCCGTAATAACGAGTAGTTTCACGTACGGGCTCAATATCTCGAGATCCGGTGGAGAAAATCGAATGCCACGGAACCTAGGAAAATAAGTTACGAATCCAGGTTGTAATCCGAAATGTCTATAATTATAATAGTTAATTTGACGAAAACAACATTTACTCGGACAATGACATGATACAACTGGTTAAATAAATTGTACTATTTTTGAGCATTTAAATATATTTCATATTATATATCTCGTCTAGAATGAATAAATAAATCAATCAAAATTGAGTCTTTTGTACATGTTACACGTAATAAATAAATTAGAATTGACATTCTGTCCAAATGAATGGGAAAATAACAATACAGGCGGTGTAAAGGACCATAAAACTTTTAACGATGTTTTGTGGAATAGATAGAATCGAAGACCTTTGAACCCAAAAGCAATAGATGGAGTAAATAGCAACTGCAAAGAAGTGTCCAATCAAAGTCATTGGTTCAGGCCTTAAGCTGAAAATAAAAAAATCTGATAAGAAAATAGAATTTGATTAAAAAATAAAATCCTAAGATTAAATAAAGTACCCAGATATTAGACCACATGGGTCCGATACACATCTTCCGCCTTGCTGAAAATATTTGAAGCAACCCTCTCTTAGAATGTTTAGATTTTCATCTATGTATTAACATGAATATATCAGAGACTTTATATTAATTTGATAAAAATAATCAAAAACTTACCTTTTGCACTAAATAACATGTAGAGTGCCTGAGCGAGTATATTAATTACAGTACTGAGTTTCTTTCGACGCCAATGAAAGGTTTGCATTTTTGACAGGATTAGCTCGATATCAGAGAAATCGGGAACTTGCGAGGGATGAAGTAGTTCAGAAAGCATTACAACATCATTGAATGCAACAGTCATTCCTCCTGAAAGGAAAAATTATTAAATATCAAATCGGAAATTTGAACTTAAAAACATTAAAAAACTTGAACTACCCCCAGTAAGGGGATGACGCATATTCATTGCGTCTCCTAAAAGAATAAGCCCTCCATGGACATTTGTAGATGGCGGAAGAAAACTGTTTGGCATCGAGCGCAATCTTTCTGTATTTAAAGCCTCATAGAATTTCGTCTAGTGATAAGTGATTTAACGAGTAGATGAAAAATATTGGATAATAATAATTGCGCATAGATTTTATATATATATATATATTATATACCTGCAGCGATTTAGGGATATCAGGTAATACTACTTCTTCAAGATATTTCTATAAAAGAAGCATTTAGTATATTGATCATAATCATACTGTGCGAAAATGATATTATCTACCTTCAAGGCACCAGATCCGTTACTTGGTAATTTTCCGGGAATGTCAACTAAGACTCTTGTGTGTTCCGTGCTTATCTAAGGACACATTATTAAGATGTTAGTATTAATGATGTTCATCGAAAATAGTGAAAGTCTAAATTACGAATACCTGATACATCAATATAGGAGAAATTTTACCGAGCACCACATGACCATGATTTTGATAGGGAAGTTGAGAATCTGTCATTACAAACCTTTGAAAAACGATCAAACATAAGCGAAATATTGACGATAATTTCTTAAATTAAAGACAAAGACATTACCCAACAAAATTCGATTTCACAGTGACTTGTTTAGGTATAAAATCTCTTCTAAACTTGGAAAAACATCCATCCGCAATAATCGTCAGTGGTGCATAGAACTATAATAGAGAGAAAGTGATTATAAACTTAATTCTAGTTTACAAAATTACAGAATCTATACTTCAATATTTACATTAATCGTGAATTCACTTTCCCCTTTCTTGGAGCAGGAAACTCCTATTGCACAGTCAGTTATTGGACATAAAATTATTTCATTAGCTGTACCCTCATAAACTGTGACACTAAAAGCAAAGAAAAAAATAAACGATTTTCGTTCAATTCTAATCATATTATCATTATGATCTTGTATCATATGTAAATTTAAAAAGTTTACTTCGATTCGGCTGCAGCTGCTTTCCGTAAATTCATAACAAAACGGCCATGATGAAATGTATGTCCTCTTCCAGGCTGTCCATCAGAGCGGTCAGGATAAGGAACATGAACATACTGGCCATCACGAAAGACAATATAACCATGGCATGAAATTGAGTCAATGTTCTCGAGACATCCTAAGCAATGAATATAAATAAACTTATTAGTTACATAAATGTGATTGAGGTCAGTGTTTGTATGCTACCTGCAAGACCGAGTTTTTCAAGTGCTAATACACCTCCTGGTTGAAGAAGTTCACCTACTATACGGTCAGGCTCACTTAAATCCCTTTCTAGACATAACATACAAGAAGTTAGAAAGTGGAGATTCCAACCTATACGCGAAAAACAAGCAATCTCACCTATAAGTAAGACTTTTCGTTCTTGTCTCGCGAACGCTACAGCAGCAGCACAACCAAGAATGCCGGCCCCAACTATAATGAGGTCGTATTCGTCGTTCATTAGCATAATTAAACTGGGTTTTAGGTAAAACTCGCAAACTTTCCAACAGTATGAGGAACCACTAACCAAACTTAAAAAAATTTAAAAAAGCGTGTTGTTTGATCAGCACGTGTCAAAGAAGATTCGCAGTCATGTGCACTTTAGAATAATACATGGGGGGGGGGGGTGAAAAGAAAATACATCAACATGAACCCAAGCACTTGAACAATAAATTTCACAGTCCAAAAAAGGTAAACGTGGTTTTTAGCACGCGTGCACCATTTTCATATAATATTATTAATATTTTCACCCAACTTGTTCTCCATTTTATATATATATTGAAATTTATGACAGTAGAAAACGAAGATACTAAGAATATGGATGTTGTCATGCGAGATACTGAAACTCGTCGTAATGCAGGTCCGAACTTTGGCATGAATCCTGGTACGAACCTTTGTAAATCTAGTAAAAAGTCTTAAGGAATAAGTTGTAAATACGCGTTATGACAAAAAATTACAGATTTAATTATCATGATTTGATTTATTTATATGAGCAGTCCCGGTGGACCAATGTACATATGAAACTACATTCTGGCCTCAAATCTCTGGCTTTGTTAAACTTGCTCTACGAGCGGAATTGCAAATTGAACGACCTTTGTATACTTATTCGCACGAGGAATTATACAGGCGAGCTTGAAAGCTGTTCTTTGGGTGTCATTTTAATTCTTCGTGTTAATTAATTGGTTTTTTATGATCTATAACAAAAATAGGAGTATATATTGGATGTGTTGGCAGGGATTTCAGAAAAAACTCCACAAGGATCTCTTAACCGTGATTGATGAAACATTGATAGAACTTCATACGCAACTCGATGCTATTGATCAACCAGATCAATGGATCTTGAAATTTGCAGAGATTAGTAAAAATCACGCAAGGGCTGCCGATATATTGTCCAGTATCTTTGCCTATTTGGTTTGTTCTTCCAAAAAGATGAATTAGAGATTTCGATATTATTTCGGTCTATTAACTGATAAGAAGTTCATTTTTTATTAGGATAAGACGTATATTCAGTATTTTCTTCATGACAATCTAAAGAAGATCCTTTTCGAAAAATTTAAAGAGCTTATTATCAATAAATCGGAAAGGCGAATTATGTATATCTTTGATATTGTGTTAGACATCCCGGGAAATTTTAATACAATTGCTGTAACTGAGACCGTCAACTCACTACTCAAGATAAATTCCGGTGAGAGCGACTTGCATGCATGATATGTCTGCATTCGTTCATTTTTTTGGGGGATTATGTGTTACGATTTCAATTTTAAATTCTTTCAATTTACATTGATATATATATATATATATTTCTATATATATATATCTCTCTCTCTCTCTCTTTTTAAATAGATTTAATCTATTTAAATCCTACACTCTTTAAGAATCATATTCCCGAAAGTCAAATACCATGTAATCTTGAAGGAGCTCGAATTAAGCATCAACAATTGGAGACTAGATATCAAATTGAGGATTTAAAGGAAAAAGGCTGGGAAGCAGGAATTTCACAACTCAAGAGAAATGCAAATCAAGTGGTTGATGAGAATGAAAAAGTCGAAGGAGAAATTTCGGCAAAGCGCATTCGCTAGTCAATTTCTTTTACATGCTTGACATTTGACATTATAATATACAGGATAAATAATTTATGAAGATTAGTTATCATTATTAGTTAATGGGGCTTTTAAAAAAAAAGATCATTATGTGCGGGCAGAATCAACATCATCAACATCAACATCATCATTATCATCAACATTATTCTTTCACAAGAGGTTAGGTGACATTTCTGCACTTCACTTGTCTATGCATCGGTTGGTTTGTTAATTTTATTTTATATTTCTCCCCGTGATGATTTGTCCTTATCATTATTATTATTATTATTGTTGTTGTTATTTGTTGTTATTATATTGTTGCATATAAAATACTAAAAATATATATATATATATAAAAGATTAAAGGCGAGTTGAAGAAAAAAAATAACATTATTGATATACGAATGTTAAGGTATGACTGTCCGCAGTTGATCATCTAAATTGTGTCCATAATCTCCCCTTAATTATAGAGTATCATATAATCATTTTTTAAACGAGTACTCTTCTCTCAAAGTAATTTATTCTATTTGGGTGTGGTAGTAAAATCGAGGATTTCAAACTAAATGTGAATACGAAAAAATTCGAACCAACAGAAAAGACAGCAATGCAGCTGCTAGCATATATATCCTATTGAGATTAGACTGGCAAATTTTACGTGATTTTTTTAAACAAAAAAATTAGGAGATTATAACCAAAAAAAATAAAATTACTCGAGAAATTTACCAAGAAAAGACATTCTCACCCTAAATACTAAAGAAGCGGATGTTACAGATAATTCTTGAGAATGTGACTCGCACTTTTCAAGTAATTCACGTAATTCATGTTCAACTTCTTTTAGTCGTTTTAACTCTTGTCTCTTTTTACGGGTTTCCTCGTGTTGCTTATGGAGTGCTAGTCTCACTAAAACACATTAATTAATTTAATAATTATTATATCTTTAATAAATACACAAAACTAATTAACAATTTCTCACTTTCTCTAGCATGAGCTTGAACCTCGAGACGTTTGAGCTTCCACATCATAGCTTCATGCTCTAGCGCCATGCATTCCTCTTTTTGGCTAAGAGGTGATGAGAATGATACCTAACAAGCAAGTACAAGAGAAATGGTACGACCAGAAAAGATGCAGTATAATATATAAAGGATTAGTTTATGCAACATTTCAGGTTTTGCTAACTTATTATAGAAAGTATCCCCAAGGCAGACGCAATCATTTGCTTTTCCCTGCATAAAAGCTCGTACAATTTTCCCACCGTTTCAAGCATGCAGGGACCGTTAAAACAATTAACCACCACCGCCACCACCACACCATCACCGTTTGATTGACTAATTGACTGACTAACTGACTAACACTGACTGAATGACCGATTTGATTAATTGATTAATTGATTGATTGATAGAAGCTCACTAACGTAAGACTGACTGCGCCACTTGGAATAAAAATATTTTCATGTTATTGCAGGCTTGACTCTACCTTTTGTTCTAGCACGGCGGCATGCTTTAAGTTGAATGCAACTTTACGCTTATTTTTAGCAACAAGGCTATGTTGCTTTTTACTAGTGTTCTTCACATAATTTTCACCCCCGACGCTTTTGAATATTGCTTCTAGTGCTCGAGCATCTGCAAATGGGGAGTTACCAGTAGCGGATGATGAACCGATTTTTGCTTTGCTTGATGGAGCACTTGCCAAAAGTGGCTTTCGGTCATGTCTTGGAGCCATATTACTGTAGAAATGAGAAAAAGAACGTCAAAAGTCAAAAAAGCTCTCAATCTATTTTTTTCTAAAGGAATTAAGAAAAAATAAAAGAATTTAAGGAATAATAGTTATTAAAATAGGTTAAGGTTGGTCGGGTTGGGTTATTTTTTCTGAGTATGTGTGTGTAGACTATTTCTGGCACCACACAACCCACTTATTGACAACGCGTTTGCAGTGTGTGTTGGATGAGTTTTCTTTTATAGTGTCCAAAATCGAGACACCAAACACGTGATAAAGTCATTTTTGGGAGAGGGAACAAATGAAACGAAAAGATTTTGTGACCATTTATGGGGCAAATCGATATAAAAAGATATATAAAGAGAAAATTTTCTCGAAAATAAATACCGCATTAATTAGTACTACCTTGGTGCTTGACAGCTCGGAGATCACGTGTATGTGATCTTGTACAAATTTTCGAATTTTGAGAATATTTTAGTTTTTTAACTTTACGTAATGGCGAAACGTCGAAGAGTTCACGCGAAAGGAAGAAACCTTGTAAATGATAATGTACAAGCAAAGATTCCCTCTGTCGCTGACGAGAAGTGAGTGATATTATATAGTTTTTAGTGACGAGAAATTTATTCTCATAAAATTTTGTAAAAGGCCTTCTAGCAATTTGGATACAAATGCCTTTGAAATAGAAATTAAAAGTAAAGAAGAACGGGAAAGAAGGAAGTTAGAAAAGAGAATTAGAGATGAGGTATGGGATTGGCTTATAATACCCATGTTATTTCTTGGAGGAGCAAAATAATTGAAAGATCATGATCTACATGTAAACGTTTTCACTACTTGAAAAATAAAGTTATTCCTAATTTGTTCACAAAAATTGAATTTGACCAATCTAAACTGTATAGTTGAGTATATCTTCCAAGAAAATGACGAGCAAAAAGAAGAAGCGACTTGAGAATTATATTGTAGGTACTGATTAATTCACAATCTATCAACTTGTTTGATGGTGTCGATTATTTATCGATGTATGATTGATTTTAATTAAATCTCGTTATAATATAATACATTACCATTTGACTTGCTCCTCTATTGATGATAAAATATAAAATAAAAAGCAAAAAAAATTAAAAAAAGAAGAGCGCGTAAATATGCTCGAAAAATTATCCAAATCCTCATTTTCTTCTAATCTTATGAAATCGAGTCGAAGATTAGGGCAGAGGGTAAATATCATTGTGAAAATATTTATTTTTTTATGATTTGTGTTATTCTGAAATGAGTTTATGGTATTAATTTAGCGTGATACGATGCGAGAGAAATTACGCAGAGCCCTTTATGAAGAAAAAATGGGATTGCCACAATCCGATCCAAATGTTCCATTATTCACCGAGCAAGCTGATGCACAAAAAGATCATAATAGTAGTGATAGTGGTGGTGATAGTGAAAACGAGGAAGATGATGAAAAATTAGGCATCTTAAAACAAAAAGTTTATCCCGAACCCCAAGATCAAATTAGCTTAGAAAATAAAAAATCAAAAGAAACCCCTGCTATAGTGGTTGGGAGCGCATTAAAGCGTGGACCTAACGAAGAATTTATAACGCTTCCCAAAAAAAAGAAGAAAAAGAAGAAGGTTTTTTTATAATATTGATTAGATCATAAACATATTATAGCTAAAAGATTAAAGATTTTTTACTTTTTTTAAGGAAAGGAGGATTAAACGTCAATCGATGGAAGAAAATGACACTTTTGATAGTTCAAATTCTGAATTTGATAACGATAAAGAAACAAAATCATTAGATATAAAAGATGTAGATGATAATGATGAGACAAATTTAAACTTGGAATCTAAACAAAAAGCAGAATCATTCAAAGAATGGGCTATTGAACAAATGGGAATGAAGCCAAAAGATATTCAAACATGTAGTGAGAATACGAATATAAGTCAATTACCTAAAATAATAAGTGATGGTCAAGACATTACTGGCGATGAATTTCTTCTATATGATACAGTTGAAAATAAACAATCTAAAAAGGTAATTTATCATTATTTCATTTATGAGGGGAATAGTCATTTTCAATAAATTTTATTTTCTCTTAGGCATTTTATGTCGCCATTAAAAGAAAACCTGAAATACAAACAGCGCGTATGGAGCTTCCTATTTATGGAGAGGAACAAGTTATTATGGAAGCCATCAATGAGAATCCTGTTGTGATAATTTGTGGCGAAACTGGATCGGGAAAAACTACACAAGTTCCTCAATTCTTATATGAGGCTGGATATGGAAATCCAAATAGCGGCAAGTTATCTACGAAACTTTCTCTTATAGCTTAGACTAATATTTTCTTCGTATAATAGAAAATCCTGGAATTATCGGAATCACTCAACCACGTCGAGTTGCCGCAGTTAGCATGTCTAAACGAGTAGCAGAAGAATTGTCTTTAACTGATAAGGAGGTTTCTTATCAGGTTGGTTAATTTATCATATTATAATTTTATTACATTTTATTCTTTTTTTTGGTGGGTTGTATTTAATGACATCGAATGGTTCTCTAATATAATGTTATTTTTTAGATTCGTTATAATGCAACAACTTCTTCAAAGACAACCATAAAATTTATGACTGATGGCGTTTTACTACGTGAACTTGCGGGAGATTTTTTACTATCACGATATTCAGCTATTATTATCGATGAGGCTCATGAAAGAAGCTTAAACACTGATATTTTGATTGGAGTTGTGAGTCGTGTTCTTCGACTGCGTGCTGAATTGTCGGAAGAGGAGAAGGGCAGAATTAGGGTTAGTTTTCCTGATAATTCTTGTTCTATTAAAATGAATTAAGCTTTTTAAATAAATAAAATGTTGATTATTTATTAATAGCCGTTAAAGATTATTATCATGTCAGCTACATTACGTGTTTCTGATTTTACGGAAAATAAAACGCTCTTCAAAATCCCTCCCCCCGTAATAAACGTTAATGCTAGACAATTTCCGGTAGGTGAAAAACCACCAACACAGCGAATTCAATTTGGCGATTAATCATTAATTAACATGAAAATTCAGGTATCTATTCATTTCAACAAACGTACACCAAAAATCGATTATGTCACCGAAGCATATAAAAAAGTGTGCAAGATACACACACGACTTCCGCATGGAGGTATCTTCGCTTTATATCAATGGGAATTACTTTACTTTGCATGTTATAAATATTCTGCCTTTTAGGTATTCTTGTCTTTCTGACCGGACAAAATGAGATCTCGATTATTTGTAAAAAACTACGGAAGAAATTCTCAAATATTCGAGCTAGTGGCAGTAAACAGTATTATCAGGAACAACAGGCCATGAATGAGAGCTTTGAAAAGTCAAGGGAAAATTTAACGGCTAAAGAAGGTAAGAGATTTTTGATCTTGTTTAACCGCTGATTATATAGGTATATTCATTTGCTTATTATTTTGTTTGGTTTATTACATTATAGCTGATATTGAACCTGAGGAATTAGCCATTGGTGATGACGAAGAAGATGAACCAGAAACCTTTGAATCACAATCCGAAGATACAGAAGAGGAAGGATTTGATAATGGTGGAGATGAACAAGAAGCAGATGTTCCACTTCATGTTCTTCCATTATATTCTTTACTTCCAATCCAAGCACAAATGCGAGTTTTTGAATCTCCACCTGAAGGAACTCGTTTATGTGTAATCGCCACAAACATCGCAGAGACATCTCTAACAATTCCCGGAATCAAATATGTGGTTGATTGTGGCAAGGTCAAAGAACGACAATATGATATTGCCACTAATGTACAATCATACAGGATTAATTGGATCTCGAAAGCATCTGCAGATCAAAGAGCTGGTCGTGCTGGTCGAACAGCCCCAGGACACTGTTATCGTATTTATTCATCAACTGTATTTCATGAACAATTTGAACAATTTTCTACGCCTGAAATTCTTCGTATGCCGATTGAGGGTGTTGTTTTGCAAATGAAAGCAATGAATATCGATACCGTTGCAAATTTTCCATTTCCGACACCACCTGATCGTAATCAATTACGTAAGGCAGAGAAATTGCTTGTAAATTTGGGTGCATTAGATGAAAATAATCGAATTACAGAATTGGGTCGAACAATGTCGACATTCCCGATTTCACCTCGATTCGCAAAGATGTTAATAATTGGTCCACAGCATGGTTGTCTTCCATACGTTATTGCAATAGTTTCCCTTTTATCAGTTGGTGATCCGTTTATAAAAGACTATCAACTCGAGGATCTTGATGATACTGCTCGTGAACATAAAGATGACAGAAACGAGAATGAAAATGACAACGTTAAAAATGATGATGAAGATAGTAAACTTCAGGCCCAAGAGCTTAGTCAAATTCAAAAATCAAAAATAGCCGAAAAAGAACAAAGAAAATTAAAGAGAAGCGAGTTCTTTAAAGTTCAAAAGGTAATTATGATTAATTGACTTTTTATTTATCTAGAGAATACCTCTATCTCTTTATTCATCGTATACCTTAGAAACATGCTGGTCTTGATCCGACTAGTGATATTCTCAAATTTTTGAATGTGGTTGGTGCGTACGAATATGCTGGTGGTACAGATGATTTTTGCGAAAAGAATTTTGTTCGGCAAAAGGTAAATTGATTAAAAATTCTACTTTATATGTAAAAAAAAGCATGATTGATAATTGATGACTACTTTTATCAGACTATGCAAGAAATCCATAAACTTCGAGGTCAAATCACAAATCTTGTTTCGTCTAATTGTCCAAATATAGATGTGTACGTGGATCCAAAGATGAAACCTCCTTCTAAAGCACAGGTATTATATTGTTGTCTTAATAATTAATGATAGTTTTATTTCTCTTATGTTAAAACTCCTCATTTTTTCACACACAATTAATAAAATTAGCTCAAGGTACTCCGTCAAATAATCACCGCAGGCTTTATTGATCAAGTAGCTGTTCGTAAAGGTTTGGTAGATAAATCAGCCAATGCCGCATCTTCATTTAGCTCAACGCGTGGTGTTGCCTATACAACTATGTGGTCTGATGAAGATGCATTTATTCATCCTTCATCCGTTTTGTATCATGCCGAACCGCCAAATTTTGTTGTATACCAAGAATTACAGCGAACTACTAAAATCTGGATGAAAGGTTAGAATATTTAGATTGAATGGATTTTCTCACAATAAATGTTTGAATAAAATAGCGAATGTTGTTTTCATTCACGTTTTAGGTGTTACCGCTATACAACCTAATTGGCTCTCTAAGCTCGGAGAGTCATTGTGCACGTATTCAAAACCTGGGAATTTATCGAAAAAGCAAGATTTTTGATTTGTATTTAATTAATTTGATATTGCATTGATACGAAAGATGTTTATTAATGGATTATTAAACTCAAAATATAGGCACTCTTCAAACACTAAACATCATAAAGATGCTGAAATGATTTCATTCGTAATACCCTCCTTTGGTCCAAAAAGTTGGGAATTGCCGCCTATTAAAGCTATAGCCAAGCTAATTAATGGACGTTGGGTTTATGGAAAAGCTTAAAATCGTCTCTGATAAAATATTATTCAATTAACAAAAATATTCATAATGGAAACTAACTAAATTACAAAATTTGCTTATTTCTATACTGAAATACACTCTATTGGTGATATTTTGGCTAACTTGATTTTCAACGAACAATAATCATAAAAAATGTTGAAGTATAATTAATTTTTCAACAATAATTATTCTTCGAATCAATATAATATAAATAATGATAATTATATAATAAAAAATAATGCAAGTGTGTTTTGATGAGATAAACAATGCAAAAAATTCTATATGGCTAAAAACACAATAAGGATGATAAAGTATCATTGCGAGGCGAGGTATTTACCACTTACCACCTGGCATGTTACTTCTTCGAATTCAATTAATTCATCCTTCTGTTGGGAAAACCCATTCATATTTTCTAATGATGATGATGATGATGATAAAGGGGATGATAATTTGGAACTAGCTTCCAAAGAAATATTGCTCAGCAATTGTCCCTTATAAGTGAATTTTACCGCAGCCGGGGCTGGGTTTGAATTCTTTTTAGTGTCAAACCGTGCCAAAAGACGTTTGCTTTCAGTAGAGGAAAGATCAAAGTCGCCAATCTGCCATAAAATTCTCTGTTTTTCACCGTTCCAAATACCAGTCGGATTAGAGTAGGCAGCGTTTCCAACTACTTCGCCGTCAACTGGTATCAAAAATGAAAGATCTGAAAGAGTCCCAGAGAACTTAAAATGAGAGTTTGGCTGATAATTTATTGCAAAAGCTGTTTTGTTTGGTTCACATTTCCACTGTGGAATAATTGAAATTGGCACATATTCGTTCTTATGATCCGGATCTATGTGCACTTGATATTTCATGATTACGACTGGTGCACCGCCTGTAAGGGCCAGCATTTCCGTGTTAACTTCGTATTCACCCGCTTCGCCTGATGTGCTTGGATTAATATACGATGCATTTGGCGCAGTTTTATCCAGCATGGAAAAGTTTGTTACTTTGAGTTTTATAGGTTGGATAATATTGCGATTTGAGACAAGACTTATTTCTCCCGTTATTGATATTTTTGCCACTTCGCCGCCTTTGAGGATAACATTCAACACCTCAGAAATGGTTGCACGCAATCCTTGCGAAATTTTTGAAGAATTAGGCTGTCCCCGATAATTAGCTTCCGAAGATGTCAATGAAGTCGGTGAAGATGTCGAGCTACTCATTTCCGGAGTTACGGCTGGTCGTGTTTCAATAGGGGAATCAGAGAAAACACCATTACCGATGTTATCAGAATCGAGAATAGTCCTCCTCCTATATTGACTTCTGAAAATGTCGAAACGCATCAGTTTTGCATACAAAAAACATGTTTTATGAAAAAAAATTTTATTGACTCACTCTCTTCGTCCACGACGATTCCGACCCAAGCTCAGAGTGCTTTGCTGTTTTATAGCCAAATTAATTGATGATCAATCAATTTGTGAATTACGATTTTAAAAATTAATAGATAGAAACTAAACATACCGATCTCAAGGTATTAGTAACCTGCTGAATAGCAGTTTCTGCTGCCTCTTCATTATTTTCAGGAATGGCTTCATTCTTGATTTCAACGTGAATTCTTCGTTGAAAAAACTGATATGAATTTAAATTGATCCAATATAATAAAATTAACGGCTTATTCTCGTATTCGATTACCTCATTGCTTCTGGTTTTGTATCAGAATCTTCATCACCTGAAAATTCATATGAACTTAAATCCGGAGGAGGGGCATCACTATCGACAACCACTTTTGGCTAAATAATAATATTATTATTATGAAAAGATATATGTATGCATTATTAATCATTAAAGTTAATTAATATACCAATATTATTGCATTTTGACACACAAGAAAACTTACTATTGAACTATCGGCTAACGTGGAAGAATTTTCTGGTTGATGAAAATGGTTATCGGTATGGTGTGGCATAGTATTAAACTCTTCACCTCCCTCGAGTTTTATATGACTTGTCATTTCTCTATCGATATGAGAAAAAAATGCTTTTAGAAATAAAATAAATAAAATGATAAATGTAATATAGAATTTCGTTAGGAATTATTTAATAAAACATACGAGGAATTGTTGGATGATGCTGTTCTCTTACGCCGTATTGTACCAATAGCGGCTCTTACTGTATTATCATGACACACACAATGATTGTTAATTGCTTGTGGTCAAAGGGAAAGACGGGCGTATTATGCGTTAGAAATATTACGATGAACTTACTTATTTTTGAGTTATTGTGGTTTGTTGTTGTGACAGAAATATTAGAAGACTCGTCCAAATAATTTCCTATTTAATCAAAACTCTTTTTAATTCTCAATTCTAATGGGATATTATGTAGCAAATGGATAGTACCTTCTATTTTTTGTAAACAGAAATTTTCAATTTCGCTCAAAACGTCAAAAGTAAATACCGCTTCTAACGTTCGTTCTGCCATCTATTTGATATTAGAAATTTTATTTATTGTATATAATATTTACAAACTACCGTCATTATGTAATTACCTCTATTCTTTTTTGACAGGTTTCAACTTGTATAGTTTCAAAGCGCGCAATGCTCTCTTTAAGATTAGTAAGACGCGTTTCATCAACTGATTGGTATTTCTGCGTGATTTAAAAAGATCGTAAACACATACACACATAGAATGCATATATTCAAACAAAGATGACGAAATTTACTTCTAATATATGCGGCGCTTCTTGCAACCATTCATTCTGAAGATTGTCTAGAGCTTTCTGAACTTCCTTAAGCTTCATCTCTGGGATACAAAATCGCACGCATAAATAATAATGATGCCAATAATAAATGTCAACTTTTTTGACTTTCATAAATAATATTCATTATAGCTTACCAGAAGCTTCGTGTTTTTTCCCTGAGAGTTTTTCGTTCTTAGATTTGAGCTATTTATAAAATCGCAGTTTATAAAATCAATACAGAAGATGCATAGAAGATCTAATAGATTAATTTCGTAAAAATCGCAACAATTTTCGAAAAAGAAATGGTATTTTTTTTTGGCAATTAAAAAAATAAATGCTTGGGATAATAATGATTCTTATGTAAAATTTCTTGAATTTCAAAATGTGTTTTATGAACCATCGTAATACACTCAACATGTAATTACCTAATTTTAAGGTATCGATCATCGTACCTTGTTAACTTTCAGAAGCCTCTCCTCGTGATCTTTCGCTATTTTTCCTAGGGTACTTTCATACTATTAAAATAAAATCATTAAAAGACAATAAGATCGGAGAATGAAATCAAAAGAAAAGAAATAAAATCGTTAACATACATTTTTTAGTTGCGACCAGTCTTCAGATGTAGTTATTCCGCGTATAGGAGTTTCAACTTCTTCAGAGATTCTATCGACAAATAAGGAGTGTATGTTTGATATTTCGGCAATTTCATGAAAAAGTGGATCCCAAACATTCGAGAAAGCACTGTTATTCGATTAAAATGTATGATGATCAATAATATTGTTCTGAGTTATAAACTATTTTGATATGTGGCGAATATTTTATCATGAAAATATATACCCCAAGATTGACCTGTCGGCTATTAAATGTCTTTTTGATGATAATCTTTGAAGACTTTTTACATAAGCGTCCTCAATCGCAGCTCTGGATAATATGTTAAAAAAAAATTGGATCGTGTTGAAATATTTACGAAATTTTTACATGTTGAAAGGAGGCTTTTTGGTAGCTTCGCACCTTTCACTGAAATATAAAGCTAATTCGTCATTTAGCTGTTTAGCCTTTCTTAATCTTAGTTGAATCGCATCAAAAGCCTCTTTTGGGCGTGCGTTCTAGAGAAATACGGTATATATAAGTGTTACGTGCAAATCTCTATACATTGCAAGTGTTCAAGGCTCACCAGGAAAGCTTGAGTATATGTCATGTTAACTGCCTCTGGCGACATAATGGGAGAAGTGGGTGAGTTTAACGTTTGTCCGTCCATAATCAGGTAGAAAGCGTGGGTATTTTGAAAGTTTTTTGTAAAGATCAATAAATTGTTTATCAGTTCAAATATTAGTAACACCGAATTTGCGGAGTCGTATCACAACTAGAACATGTCGGATATTTTAACCATTGAAAAACTTCCTGTGGAAGTATTGCAACAAATATTTATATTTTCCAGTAATCATAACTTTTGTCTTGTGTCGCGGACCTTCTATCAAGTTGTCACAACGCAATCAAGCGTGAAAACGTACTGGCTACTACATAAATACAACTACAATTATAAGCAAGTGCTAAATCGTGGGCTTAAATGGAAGTTCTTCAACAAAGACATATTGTTACAATTGGACCATCTTTATTATCAATCGCAACAATCTAATTCTGAATTGGCGAAACCCGCCACATTCATTCCTTATAATGAACGACCCATTCCATCACGATTACTTTCTAAGCCTGATCCGGATGGGAAAGCATACGAGTTGGTAAAAATTTTATTGGAACGAGGCGCATCCCCGGATGAACCTCAAGGTTATCCACTAATGAAATCTGCATCGCTTGGAAGGTTAGATATGGCTAGACTTTTGCTGTCATACAAGGCGAATGGCAGTATTTGTGTTAATGATTATTCGCCAATGGTGATTAGTGTTGGTAAAAACAATTTTGATATGGTAAAATTATTAGTGGAGTATGGAGTGAAACCGGATGAAAAATCATTGGAAATTAGCGTTAAAATGAATTTGAGAGAAATCACTCAATTCCTATTGGATCACGGCGCAGTTCCAAATAGAAACGTTATTGCTGCAATTCATAATGACACCTCTTAACTTTCCCATCCTTTCAGAAACTATGGCAAAAAAAAAATCGGATATTTTTTTGGTTATAATAGTTCAAATAGATTAGACACATCATATTGATTAATCTATATTTAGAATAATTTTGAAAAATTGTTTAAGAAATAATAATAGAACACAACTTATACAATATTATATTAACGAATCACTTTTTTAATTTTTCCGTTAATTCGGGAACGGCGGTAAAAAGATCTGTGACTAAACCGAAATCTGAAATCTATAAATATGATTCATCAATAAATAATACGTCGTGGCGAAATTAATTATTGAATACATGTACAATAGATAGATAGATAGATATATATCACTTGCCTGGAAAATGGGGGCATCCGGATCACTATTAATCGAAGCTATAACTTTACTATCTTTCATTCCGGCAACATGTTGTATTGCACCGCTAATTCCCACAGCCAAGTATAACTCTTCTGTAAATTTATAATATTGATGATTAACGACAATACGTTGCATGAACATTTAAAATCCGATTTTAACTTAGAGAACAAACCTGGCGCTACAATTTTTCCCGTTTGTCCAACCTAAATAAATGTTTTTAATCGACTCATTAAAACGGAATATGTATGCTGTATGTTATATCTATAACGAACCTGGAAAGGATGTCTAACGAACCTGCAAAGCATTATCACAATATCCTGAATCTACAGCAGCTCGTGAAGCGCCAACTACAAGATCAGATAAGCCATTTGAAGATTAACATAAGTGATGTATCAACTATGCTGAAATGTGTAATGTTGGCCTATGACCTTGGTATGAATTGACCTCCTACGACCTCAATTTTATTATAATATGACTGATGGCCATGAAATTGGTCAACACTAGAAACATGTACTCACCACCTGCACCGAGAGCATCAGCAAGACCAAATATAAGTTTATCAAAATTTTCTTTACTTTTTAGAGCTCTCCCTCCAGATACAACTCTTTTGGCTGATTCTAAACTAGGACGATCACTTTTTTGGATCTCTTCGCCAACCCATTCAGTAAGTGCTGGTTTCTCTGCATCAGGCGCAGATTCTGCGCTAGCTTCTGTTTCAATAGTAGTGGCAGGTGGAAACGCTGTACCACGAATTGTAACTACTTTTACTGGATCAATGGACTTGACCTTAGCAATAGCATTTCCTATGTTCACACATTAGAACATCATGAATAAATTATGAACCAGGCACATATCTCTTACCCAATAGAGCAACTGACCTGCATAAATCGGCCTGACAAAAACTTCGGGAGATTCTATATCAATAACATCAGAAATTTGTGCAACATCCAAAAGTGCTGCAACACGCGGCAAAATATTTTTGCCAAAAGCGGAATGCGAAGCTACCAAATGAGTAAAATTAAGCTTTTTTTGTGTTGCCGTCAGTAGAGGCGCGTAAACTTCTGGAAGACCGTGTTCGTATACTTTATCTTTTGCGACAAGCACTTTCGAAACACCATTCAGTTTAGATACCGTTTTAGCAACTGGATCAGGATTTTCACCCGCCACCAAAGCCGTCACTTCACCGCCCAACTTTTTGGCGGCTGTGAGTGCTTTTAGTGTAGACGCTGCGAGTAAATTATCTTTGTGTTCGACAAGGAGGAGGGTGGAGTTTCCTTGAACAGCACTAGTAGCAGCATATCTACGCGAAATTAAATCACGTATCTTGTAATTTGTGAGAATATAGTTAGTTGTGCGAGTTGAAGTTTTGACTATTTGTAAGGTTGGGTATCGAAGTGAGAACATTTTAGCTGGGGTGTGCTAGCCAGAGATGTTCAACGTGACAGATTAAAAGGGAACGAAATAGGGTAGGATGTTTAAATAATCGTAGGTCAAATTTAATATAAATTTTAATTCCATCCTAACCCCTTTTCTCAGAATTTCAGCCCCCAGATTTCATTTTAATCTAGTTTCGTTTTATCTGTCACATATTAGATGTTACTACGGTTAGCACAAACCAATCGATGAGACAGTTTTTACACTTTGTATTACCAATCGACACCAGATTCTAATATATATTTAGAAGTGATGTCCATTTGTTAATGACAATATTTTTAGATTTTCGCAACTTCCGCTAACATCTTTTTTTTTTTGATTGATCAAATAGTCAAACCCGTTATAAAGTAAATTCTGTTGTATAATCTGGAAATTCATTCGTTATAAAGAGGACCCATCGTATAATTAAGTATTAATCACCAGAGGAATAGAAAACTTGGATTATTGTTACAAGTTACTCTTTGATATAATGGAGTTGAATTCAAAAACATCTATTAAAAATCCGCTGTATTAATAAACTCTCGATCTAGTGAATTTTTGTAAAAAAGTGTAACGAACACCTTCACCTCTAATGAGGTTTGGATGTATGTAAAACTTTCATGTTCGCCAATTGTGTTGCAATAAAAAAAATTGATCCGTAAAAAAGTTGATTCTTATTTAATTTTACCCACTCATACGACAGGATCCCTAACAACTATAAATAAAACTACTACTTTTGAAAACTGCGTGATCTTTAAATTTTAATTGTGATGATGATAATATCAAGCATTTTATAATCATCATCATAATAATAATAATAATAATAACAATAATAATAATAAATTCAAGCCATATGGTAATTTTTAAATTATAGGGAGGGTGCAAAAATGAAAATAAGAGCTACTAATTTTTTCGACTTAACCTATCTTCTTACGGAAAGAACACCCTATTGAAAATATGGAATAAAATGTTTAGCAAAATCACCGACAGCAATAAAAATCCGAAAAGAAATGAGTTCGATTCTTTTCTAAGAATACCTTCGGTTAACCGAGCTCGTCCACCTGTAGGTTGACATAATACGTTAGCACATGACCCACATAAAACTACTGTCTGTGCATGGCTAAAGACGGTCGTAATACTAAAGCACCCTATTTATCAATGTTTTTCAGTGATAAGTAGAAAGAATGGTAATAATATTCAAAAATCCGGAAAGTAAAAACACCAAGCGCAAACCTGGACATTTAACATCCATGAAATACGAGTTTGGACTCTGTACCAATCTTTTAAGTTTGTGTTGACGTTTTTCATGTTCTGGCGTTGGATTGAGAAGATCGACTGTTAACTATATTTAAGAAAATAAAATAAAAGAAATTAGATTTAGTAATTGATGAATTGATGAATATGAATGCAGGGAATTAAATGATTCTTGATATTATTGGTTTGAGTGGCGCGTGAAAGCTTTTTTGCGTGCATTCCTTAATGTGGTCTTTTAATGGCCAATTTATATACAAAAATGCGTTAAAAATAACAGCGAATTGTTTCAAACTGAATGAGCAAAAGTTCTTTCGCAAACCGCAGTCGGAATAAAAAAATTCTCATATTTATCCAACCATCCATTAACTCCTCAAAAACCAAACTGTAACCAGTTCGATTAAATGGAATTCAGCAAAACCGAAAAACCAATAACTAAAAAATTTTCTAAACACTAAAAAAAGAACTATATAATACATACCACCATGTTGTATGACTTTTTGTCGTGTAAAAAAGAACAAAGTTTTTTAGAAATTCCGTGAACCTCTGGATCAACCAAAAATTTTTTTATTTTTTTAATTGGTCATAGACCCTAAAATTTAGGGGACTTTTTCCAATCAATCGGATAGAATTTTTTTTTTTTGCTTCGGTGTGTATAATTTTTTCGTTAATACGTTGTCCTTCTGAACCTCTAGTTCTATCTTATAATTTTTGGTTAAGGAAATGGCTGCACCAGAAAAAGAGGCTGTACAGACTTATGGTCGTAAGGTTTGTATAGCTAGAAATGTCTTCAGATATTTAAATATTTAGATAATTTTTTTACTTTGCCTTAAAATGGGTATATTTACTGATTGATTCTTTTGAAATTATATGTAAACACAATAAACTTGCTCTTGATCATCACAAAAAAAATTTGCAGAAAACTGCAACGGCAGTCGCCCATTGTAAACGTGGCAAAGGACTCATCAAAATCAATGGATCACCAATACATCTGGTAGAGCCCGAGATCTTACGATTCAAAGTCTACGAACCGATCTTAATTCTGGGACAATCAAAATTCGATAACGTGGATATTAGAGTGCGAGTGCGAGGTGGTGGTCACACTTCTCAAGTATACGCTATTCGTCAAGCGATCGCCAAGGCAATCGTCGCTTTCTATCAAAAGTATGTAGACGAGGCACAAAAGAAGGAGATTAAAGACTTATTGATTCGTTATGATCGAACTTTACTTGTTGCTGATCCGCGTCGTTGCGAGCCAAAAAAATTTGGTGGACCGGGTGCTCGTGCTCGATATCAAAAATCATATCGTAAATATTTTATTATTATTTTATCATTAATTGATTCTTTAAAATTTCTTGATTTAACAATATCAATCTTTTGAAAACAGGTTAAAAATCGTTTATTCATATTTCTATTATTTCTGACGATAGTGAAACTCATAGAGAATATATTTAGTCATTATATTTCTTCTTAAAAAATAGCATTCATGTTATTATTTATTTATTAAAGTGAAGAATACTAGGGAAAGAATTCCTTTAATGTATGTTCAAAAACATTAAGTAGTGGATTTTCCTAATGACCAACTAGTAAAAAAATAATAACAATAAAAATAAAAATAAAAATAACAAAAAAAAATTAATTATAATAAAAAAAATTTCTTTATCGTTTTGAAATTGTTTCTATGCGCGTTTTACTCCTTTTTTATTATGACCGAGATATTTACGACGTTGGTGAATCATATGCGTGTACATCGTATAGAAACCTTAATTGATTTTTTTTTTAATTAACACCTAGAATAAAAGAACATGCAATAATACTACAAGCAGCTCACCAGGTGGATAAGTCAACAAAGCAAATATCTCTACCAGATAATATGTATGATTGTAGCCTTTGGAGTATGCAAGTGACTGATAGACGAGAATCGCTTCGCTTCCAGCGCCAAGAGGATACAAGATAAAGAAAAATGTGTACCTGTAATTTTTTATTTATACAAGATTATTATGTATCAATCAAATAAGAAATGGTTGCTATCCTTGAGATTACGCTCATCTTCTTTTACCTTGCCCATAGAATCAATGCAGGCTGGATATTTAAAAGACTAAAACCATAATAAGCGTATCTTATGGATTCTGTAACACTCCATGCAATTGTCATTGTCGTAAATGCTAAATGTGTGCGAACCTTTAGGATGTCAAGATGAAATTTTTTTTTAATTGATTCATTACTCAGATTTATACCAAAAGTTATATGCATTAAGGAATCCTACCTCCGGGAATAAATCAACTACGCCCCAGACAAGGAATAAACGGGATGTCACTTGGATGATAGTGGTCATAATAGGCGATTTCACAAGACCTAATAAAGAAAGAAACGAATAAATAATCGGAATACGCAAATAAGCAAGCGAAACTAATTTCCCGTATTCTTACCAGTCACTACATGAAGCACCTTTTGAGGTGAGTTTGACAATAAGCATAAAAATTATTATGCTGAATCATTTTCGCATTTTCGCAACGATAAAGAAAAAAAATTTACCTCAAGAAGAGCGGTAGTTTGCACCCACTTCAGTATAACACCGATATTATCGTATGATTTTGTATAGTCACCTTGGTTTTTTGCCAATTCCGAAACCGTTTGCGCCAGCACATATGTCCAACCAACCCATGAGACGGCATTGTAAAGAACGAGATACCCATTCTTGACGCTGAAACCTATTAAAAAAATAAATAGAAAGGTTAAACATACAGAAAGTGCATCACAAAGAGAAGAGCATTTATTAATGTCTTGCCAGAGCTTTTCTTCGTTTTTTTTGAAGGGACAACCATTTTACTCTAGCGAACTCGTGGCTGTTGTTAACGAGAATGAAACAATTTCGTGTCGTGGGTCGCGTTGTGTAATTTCAGGTGAAGATCTACTCTGATGAGCTCGCGTGCTAATTCACTAGTACGTTATTGATTGGTCTGGCATTTGATCAACAAGTAGAACATCACTCGACGAAGGTATGTTGTAAGGAGTTTCTTATGAATCTTGTTGAGGAGTCGTTAAAATATGCTTTCCAAAAATTATCATAGAAACAAGACCTCAAAGGAAGCTTTTTCTTCACCCACACCACAAAGTCCGACAAGCACCACCACATTAACTACAAATGATACTGATTCGACTAAAACCATAAACCCTGACGCAATTAGGCCACTTTCATCACTGCCTCCTGCCCATACTACTTTCTCTGCTAGAAATCTAGTACGAACAAATGGTCGACGCTCATTTCCCCCTCCACCCTCACAACGATCTGGAAATAATGCGCAAAAAAGTCAAAATATAAAAATTTCAACTAATAAACTCGAATTTTCACCGGTGCCAAGACCAAATAGCAATATCGTAAATGGCAAAGAACAGCAGAATTCTTTATATGAACGTTCTTCTTCAGATAATTCATCAAATCAAATGGAAGCCATGCAATTCGCAAAAAGACGGAAAAATCGAGTACATTTCTCGATTTCTTTTAAGGATTTTCACAAAATTCTCGAGATCGAACAACATTTTTTCAAGGGTAAACCAATCGTGTCAAATGGAAGAATTTTACTTAAGGAAGGCACATTATTAAAAGATTCCGGCGCTGGTTCCATTCTTCGGAAAGTATTTTTATTTCATGACATCTTAATAACGGCAGAAATACTACCAGAATACAAACAAAAAACATTCATGAAAACACTTGGCAATCAATTAATCATATCACTTACGCATTTACATATTGAGTCGGTAAATCGTGAAGAACAAAAACCACCAAGATATCTCATCGAAGTTAATACAGGAAAAGTTTTTTACTCCTTTGTGTTCGATTCGATGAAAGAACGTGATGAATGGTTTAATATTCTTGATGAAGCAATAACGAATCGAAAAGTTATAGTAGCCAGACGTGCCAAAGAAATGGATCTTGTCCAACAAAAGAAACGCAGTAATAGTTTCACTTTCGATGGGCCATTATCACGAGCTTGGAGTGTCACTCAAATTATTAATGAAAAATCAGGCTCAGTTTATGATGCTATTCGATATTTGAACGGAATGAGAAACTCCAATAACAGCATTACTACCAACAACAACAACAACAATAATGGTAACAGCAGCAATAATAAGATTAGCGGAAGAACAATAATGACTAATGGAAATAGTAGAGGTATTCTTTCTTCTTCTCCTCCAGATCTGAATGGATCATTCTGGGTACCCGATGAGGATGCATCCGGGTGTATGGTCTGTAAAGTCACAAAATTCGGGGTTCTTGTACGTAAACATCATTGTAGACTTTGTGGTCGAGTAATTTGTTGGAAGTGTTCGCAAACAAGAGAACTTATTCATGGGCAAGAAAAATATGTTCGTGCTTGTAAAGACTGTTTGGGCGGAGATTACGATTCAAATGATGAAGAGGAATATTTGAGCGGAAACGGTGAATTCAAAATACCGATAAATGGTGGAATTGCAATGAAATCAATTGTAAATTTAAGTACAGCCTCCAAAAATATTACTTCAAATAGTAATGGAGACGAACCAACGTCTTCTGTGGAGACTAAAAGAAACTCTATTATGGTGGAAGAAAAAAATAATGCTTCCGTTGCCTCCTATTACACCGCACCTATCAATGCATCTTTGACTAATGTTAATTTAGAAGAATGATTAATCAATTCATTAATTTATTAGTAATAGTATATATATATATAAAAGATACAGTGGGATTTTTTGGGGCTTTTAATTGTTTTATTTATTCATCTCTCTATAATAGTGAATTGGAATAATTTTATTCCTTTACAAATGTAATATATTTTACACACAACATATATCCACTTTTGGGAAAGAATGCCTTTTTTTTTCTCTTTAATTAATTTAAATATAAAACTTATATGTGTGTATATTTATATATATGTGGCTTTTTTTAACCGAATGTGATCTGGGATCCACCACCTGGCTCCTTCGCGATACTTTATGAAAAAAGATTCTCGTTAATTCAAATTTTGATGATAATTGAATTAAAAACAAAAAACCTATAACACTAACCGACTAGAAGTTCTAAAACGAGTTGATTGCTCTTGTTCTTGATTTGCCGATTGATCTTCGTTGCCAAAAGTGACGGTTGATTGATCTCTGCTGAAATATTTTTTGTTCGAGCCAGTAATCGAACCAGAGGTTTGAACATCATCACCTCCTCCGAAAGAGAATTGGGATGTATTCTTGTTTTGGTTAAATCTACGACTTGCTAAATACAGAAAGATCGTGTGAAAAAAACTATATATATAAAATTCATATTTAGGTAATAAAATCAACTTACGTTCCTCGTATGCATCATCACCAAAGACGCTTGATTTACCGCCAGCTCCTCCGGGTTGATTCACACGACTAGTCGTGTGAACATTTCGACGAGTAGACTCACTACTTTCTACATTAATGAAATTCAAGCAGCATTATTATTATATCTTAAAAAAATGCTCGAGATAATAAAAATTGATTCTCACGGGATATGCCGGCGGGTAAATCTGACTTTCCAGAGATTTCATCACCTCCTCCGAAAGAGAATTGGGATGTATTCTTGTTTTGGTTAAATCTACGACTTGCTAAATACAGAAAGATCGTGTGAAAAAAACTATATATATAAAATTCATATTTAGGTAATAAAATCAACTTACGTTCCTCGTATGCATCATCACCAAAGACGCTTGATTTACCGCCAGCTCCTCCGGGTTGATTCACACGACTAGTCGTGTGAACATTTCGACGAGTAGACTCACTACTTTCTACATTAATGAAATTCAAGCAGCATTATTATTATATCTTAAAAAAATGCTCGAGATAATAAAAAATCGATTCTCACGGGATACACCGGCGGGTAAATCTGGCTTTCCAAATTGATTGAGATATGCATTAGTAACATCACGAATGCCATCAATTTGCCTTTCACCCACGATAGGCCAAGAGTTTTTATCGGTAATCCTGATCAACAAAAAGCATGAATTATTTAACGTGCGGAAATTAGGAACAAATTAACAAAAATGGAATGGTAACCGATAATCACAATTTTAATTGTTTAAGTACGGAAGCTTGATCCCAATAGATGCTAAGAATTTTTTAAAGATGAAAATTAAAGGGATTCGGTGTTTTGTTTGCCTATTATATAATTTATAAGCAATACCGAATTGAAGAAATCCTATTTAAGTCGAAAGACGCGATTGTGACCTATGTGTGGTAAAGTGGTTTATCCAAACGCGAACATATTATAAGTATCCCTTCCGGACAATAAGTTATGACAAAATATCACAAAGTTCTCGTTTTACCATTGGGATTACAATAGTGGTATCCATGGTGTGTCTTGAATCTATCCCCGGAATAATCCACTTTCCTTCTCCAGTAATGAAATTGATGGTAGTCTCTGCTTCTTCAACAATCGAGTCGTTACTGATAGTTCTATGAATGACCTTTTCTTTGACAGAAAGCTTTGTCGTGTCATAGGCTGCAGCTAAGTATTGCCTTACAGCGTCATAGCCTCGAGCCCCAGATGCTGTCGGCACAAACAACAAAGTTGCAGTATCAGTAAAATGGTCTCCATCGCGATGACGTTTATATTCGTTCCAAGTTTGTTGAATACTCATGTTAAATGTCTGGCTTTTAAATGTGTAGAAAAATGTATAAAGCGAGGTGAAAGGTATGTTTTCGAGTGTTCAGGTGTATATAATAAAATTATTGCTCTAGAAGGAACGAGTCTATCTCTTTCTTTGTCTATTTCAGCCAATTACAATAAAAAAATTTTAAGGTCTGCAAGTGATATATTACGCGTTTTTCCTTTTGAGAAATATCAAGGGGAAGTCCTAACAATCTGTGGGTTTAGATATTGAAAATCTCGAACGCCTTTTGCTTTATCCACATGAATTCAGATAAATTACTGAAGACGATCCGTGTACCACCTGAAAAATAATTTTCCATGCATAAATGCAGTCAACCACCAGTTGACTGCGAAGACATTGTCGTTGATTCATCCATTCATTGATTTGGTAATCGCAAGCATTATTTTTATTATAAATAATATTAAGTTAATACTTTTCTGAATTGTGCGATTCTAAGTTTTTTTTTAAAAGGAAGAAAATCAAACAAACAATCATTCTAAGCAACTATACGCTAAATATTTCTTTTCATATCAGACTCATGTTGATTTTTCTTTACATATTATAAATATAACCTAAAATTATAGTTTATCCAGGTATTTGTCGAGCGAAGGAATTTCTTCGCTAAGACCTTTTCTCTTTCGGACAGCTTTTACGATATCGCAGACCTTACCCGGCTCTAATGGTGTGCCGTTCATTAATTGCCAACTAATAGCAAAGATAATAAAACGAGTTAAATAATCATATCTAAAAAAACACTTGTAAAGGAAAAACGCATCTTAATAAAATTCAAAAGTATTTATACGTACTGTGAAAATACACATTGAGGGAAAGCCTGGCCACCAGTATTTGATCGAAGATCAGCTGTGAATCCAAAGGATTCATTTACCTAAATTGAAAAATAAAATGCATGTTAATATTTTTCTAATTAATAGCTAATTACCTAAGTGAATAGTGCTTACAGGAAGATAAGCCTTAACATTGTATAGTGGTGTACCAGGACGCTGCTCTTCTGCAAAGACGTGACCACGACGTCTGTTCAAAACACCATAAATACCACCCATAGCATTTTCAGGACACTGAATTTCCACGAGATATACAGGTTCCAAAAGACCCGGCGTGGCTGTTAAACAAGAAGCATAGATGACACGACGACAAGTGGGAATAATCTGACCACCTCCACGATGAATGGCGTCAGCGTGTAACACGACATCGAGAATATTGAAGCGACATGAACGCATATTTTCTTCTGCGCAGACTCCTTCTTTTGTTGCCCATTGGAATGCAGCAATACATGAATCCTTTATTTCATTAAGATATTGTACTCCTTTGGTCACGTCAACCAACAAATTAGGACCCGTTGTGTCTGGACCAAAACACCAAATCTTTCGAGCATCAGTAACATCCCAACCGTATTCTTCCGCTAGAATACGTGCACGAATTTTGAAATCGTCACGAGGATTGATTTTGCCCGATTCGATGTCATTTGAAAGTTCTTCCTGCATTGGAAATGCTTTCATGTATAGACGATTATGTTTGTTGGGTGATTTTGACAGTGCAGTAATTGAAGATTCCGCTTGCACGGTTTCCCTATATGATACTACCGGGTCACCAGTTTTTATTGGAACTTGCGCGTGATCTTCTTCCAAATCCTTTAAACAAATTTCCAAATGCAATTCACCAGCACCAGCGACAATATGTTCACCAGAATCTGACGTGAGACATTGTACACATGGATCTGATTTTGATAAACGTTTTAGACCTTCGACTAATTTTGGAAGATCGTTGGCATTTTTTACTTCGACAGCAACTCGCACGACAGGAGAAACTGAGAATTTCATAACTTTTAAGTTGTGCGCTGTCTCTGAGGTGGTGATTGTGCCTAATAAATGAAAAAGGATTAGGATACCATTAAAATATAATAACGAAAAACTATCGAGAAAAAAAAAGATTCATATTTACCAGATTTTAGCAAATATTGATCTACACCCACGAGACCAACAATATTACCAGCAGGGCAATCTTCGATAGGTTCCACATATCGACCCATCATGAGAATAGTACGTTGTATTGATTTGACGAACAAATCTTCTTTTTTTCCTGGTTGGTAATTTGGTCCTTGAATGCGAACTTTAAGACCAGAACGCACAGTACCAGAGAACACACGACCGAAAGCATAAAATCTTCCCTTGTCAGATGTCGGTACCATCTTCGAGATATACAACATAAGTGGTCCATTAGGGTCACAATCCCGAATAGCAATACCGCATTCATCATCCGCTGGACCTTCGTATAAATTCTCGGCACGATATTTTTGAGCAGTAACTGGTGACGGAAGGTGAATGACTATCATTTCCAGTAGCGCGTCAGCAGCTGGCAAGAATTTACGCATGACAACTTTTAATAAAGCTTTTCCTTCAAGATCTTTTTCATCACCCTTTAGACCAACTTCCAGCTTCTCCAACATTTTGGTGGTTTCCTCTTTTTTGAAATTCATGATCGCATCGAACAATTTGAAAATTGGATCCAATACAAACATGCAAAAAGCACGTTCAAGTTGTTTGCCATCCGCCGTCGTACTTTTTGTTGTCCATTTTTTAGTGGCTGGATTAAAGAAATTCTCGCCCCATAATTTTTGCATCATTTTCTCTTTGTCGACACCAAATTTTTTCGAGTAACGTTGCGCAAATTGTCGGAGTGTGAAACCCCAGCCATGGAGACCAGATCCAAAGGCGACTGTACCCTTTTCAGGATAGACCTGCACTTCGCCGAGCGTTTTGTCAAAGTACGTTGAAATGATGACATTTACAGATTCAATGGTACGTTGGAAAGACTAATTAAAAAGTATATTATTAGATTTTTTTTTTCTTTAAACTCTCTAAAAGGAAAAATAAAAGCAGGAAATATACCGTATATAAATCTTCTTTGGTTAATTGTAACTCTAGCAGAGCACGATCAACTTTATTAATAATGATAACAGGTTTAATACGTTCGGTTAAAGCTTGTCGTAATACAGTTTCTGTTTGCACACATACACCCTCGACACAATCTACGACCACCAAAGCGCCATCGGTAACTCGAAGTGCAGCGGTAACCTCGGATGAGAAATCGACGTGCCCGGGTGAATCGATCAAGTTGATCAAGAATTCATTGCCTAATTAAAATAGACCAAAGTTGAGTAATTTTCCATATTTTATTTTATTTCATTTTATTTCAATGAACAATTAAAAGATATTCAAAAAGTTTTATAGGAATATGATAAAAAGATTAGATTCTTCACATACAGACCTTCGGTTTTTTGTTTAACATCCGACAAATCTTCTTTAGGTAATTCAAAATACATGGAAATGGCAGTGGATTTGATTGTGATACAGCGTTCTTGTTCATCAGCCCGCGTATCTGTGAATCGGGCTTCGCCGGCCTTTGCTGAGGAAATAATACCAGCTTTCGAGACCAAAGAATCGGTTAATGTGGATTTGCCATGGTCCACATGCGCAATAACAGACATATTGCGCACGTTAGCGACTTTGTCCATCTATATAACAAAATTTTGATATGCTCATTATGTATATATTCCAAACTTTTTAAAATTACTTTCATGAATGCATATTAAATAAATATTCGATACATACAAGAGCACGAATCTGGTCTACTGTAAAGTTCACCTGTTAAAATTTTTTTCATAAGACTAAATTAGCGATTTCATTCAACATTGCAAGATTTAAGAAAGCTACAAAAAGGTAAAATTTTCGCAGTAAAAAAATATTACTCCATACCATATTTGACGTTCACCAAAATACCAAAAGAAAAAAAAAGAAGTTGTGCCAAAAAAAAATTGACAATCAATCTCTTTATAACCAGACGGAAAAATTTCCGGGTAAAACAAAAACCGCGCTATTTTTTTATCATATATGATGCGCAGCACACGATATTATTAACGCAAAAATATTTTTGTACAATCTAATCAAATAATCCGCTCTCCCCAATTTCAATCCAATCTTTTACTCTAAAAAGTTTTCTATTCGAAATTGAATTCTTTGGAGAAACTGATTTCAATCCTTCAATAATCTCAATTCCATATTTATTACAAGATCGAGTAAGCGAAACATTATTTCCCATAATAATTCCGATATCAGCATCCACTGATATGAATGAAATATATAAAGATAAGCTGATCGAGTTCAGATGGAATTAAGAAAGAATTTGATTAGTCTACTTACACATACACGGCAAATCTGTTTCGGAATCGCCGACATAGACCGAAATTGTCTCTTGCGGCACTGTAAACTGTTTAAATATTTCTAATTTATCTATGGCAGTGAGTACTTTACGTGTGAGTCCACCAGTTGAGCTGTCTTCTTCAAATTTCAAATCATTCGAAATAATTATCTTCTTATTAATTCCATCGATCTCTTGAAGACAACCGAGCAACATGTCCCGTGACCAATTGGTTGAAAGAACAAAAAACGAACATGGGTTGTTCTCTAAATAACGTTTTATAACGTCAACTGCGCCTGGTCGTTTCTTGATTATCTTCCCTTGTTCCCAAAGTTCTTCCGGATGCACGCCAATTAAGCACTTGAAGTCCTCAACGCGTTTCATAGACCTTTCTTCAACTTTCTCTAAGGACTTTAGCAACTTATAAAAGTCTTCAAGTGTTTTTTCGGGGTGTGATTCGCCCCAATGTTTGATGTGTTCTTTTAGTTCTTTAAAATATAGTTCCACAAAATAGGACCAGGGAGGCGGGCAGTCATGTTTACAATCATCCGACATACGAGGGCACTTGGCGATGAGGGTAGAAAGAGTATCACATAGAGTTATCGTTTCATCAAAATCACTAACCAAAAGACCAACAGGTGGATACATTGTAAGAATCTATTCGATCGAGAAAAATTGATTAGTAATTCATTTCGGGCGATATGTTCAGCAATTGTGATCTGTGTTAGATTGGTGTTACATCTTGGGGTTGCCATATAGTAATTAACGCTACTATAGGGGGTGATACATTATGCTTAATTAAAATCTCAAAGATGACAACCTAAAACATTTCTAATGAAATTTCCTTGGTAATCAAATTTCTCGATATAGCGATGTTTGCAGAATTTTCCGACCATATCGTTATATCGAAGGTTTAACTGTTATCTCGAGATTTGACTGTATTTCGATTTACGCTCACTTTGCGAACAAATGACATATAGTCTTAAAATTTAGATGTATCATTTGACAAGAAAAATTAATGGAAGAATAATTTTTACTTTGAGACCAAAAAGTCGATCCGTCTTGCAAAGAATTTAAACAAAATGTATACCTATAACTAGAAGGTTTATTTCAATTCTTGGAGAAAATCTCGAAAACCAGTAAATTATAAATTCGTTCGTCTGCTAATGTCTGAGTTTCCAAGCAGAAGCGATTAAAACCAAGAAACTACTTAGTATATTTCGGTCAAGGTTGTTCTATTTGTAATCGTTTTGATTAATAATATGTAAAGAGTCCAACCCATTAAAATTTTAATTTACTAAAGAATTTTGCTCATTATCATTCACACAAAAAGAATGATTTGATTCTGATTTCCACAGGCCTAGCAGAATTAAAATTCGAAAAACTTGCGTGATATCCTATAACTTTGTAACCATCCAATAAACGCCGCTACACTCATCACAATGAAAACAAAATGTCGATCAAATGGGAATCCGAGATTATTTTTCAAAGACCAAGTCCAAAGAGCTCCTCCTAACGCGGGTCCAACAGCACGAGCAAAGGATGCTATTGTTTGCCCTATTCCATTGACTGTGCCAAGAACATTTCGTGGAGCAGAATTCGTAATCTGTGTTGAATTAGAAATATCATTAGACGCATAGACGCATTTTCCCAATAGATAATCAAAAATCTACATACTACAATTAAAATACTTGTATATCCGAAAACGTTCAAAAAGTAGCGCACACCCAACGTTATCAGTAATATATACCAAATTATACGTTCATTCGTTAAATTTCCCTGATCAGGGCACACAACGCTGGCTAACTCAGAATCAAAATAACAATTGAATGACTGCTTAAGTGTGTTTATTAATGGAAACATCACGTAAACAGGAATATAAAGGAACCACACGATTTGATATGCTCGTGCAGGCTTCCTGAGTACCGTGAACATAAAAGATCGGCTGGCTAAAGCCACGAAACCCATAATTGTCAAACTAAGTGCAAGGTCTTGAGATCGATAGCCAAGACCGCCATCAGAAAGTCGAGTTACTGCGTATATTGAGTATACTTCGTCAAAGATTATTGTTAAAGCCAATATTCCATAGGAGACGAGAGGTGGAATAGAAGGGGATATATCGCGTAAAAGACTACGAAATCTCTGATTATACGTTGCCTTTACTACGGAATTATCTTCACTTTCCTTGTTTAATGTTGAATCATCGTCAATGAGAATTCCATTGCACTTCCCTCCCATAGGTCTATTAGAAAGATTATTACAATCTATTTCATTACGGTCAATAGTGCCATATAAAGATGAAGAAGACTCAATATCATCCGAATGATTACTCTGTTTCGTATTAAGTAACGGTTCACTCTCAGGCTTATATTCAGATCCCTGATCAATTTTGTGCGATTCAGGTAACATGAAATATCCAATTACCAATCCAGTAGCTGAAACTGACGATGAAATAAGACAAGGCAACAAATATGGATAATATCTCCAAAACTCATTACCAAAAATATTTGGAAAATTATCAGCAGGATGCGACAAATATCCACCAATGATTGGTCCTAAATACATAATAGATTATAAACCAAGGATCTAAATATATAATCATGAGTATGATACCTTACCAACTTTATAGTATATTTATTATTTATTAATAAAGGTGATAAAGAAAAAAATTAATTAGCATAAAAAATTTCACTACAAGAATCCACAGAAATGAATAAACGGATACATACATATAGCGCCAAGACTATAAACCAAGCCAAAAAGTGAAAAGGCTTTTGTTTTATTTGTGCTATCTGTTATCTCACCAAGCATACTTTTTGCCACCCCAATATTTCCCTATTTAAAAAGGTAAATGATATAAATCAATTTGCAAAACTCGCTTTTATTCAAATTATATATACTCACGTTTAAAGCACCTTGAAGACTTCTGGAAGCCATAGCCCACCTATAATTGATCGATTTAGACGTATTGATTTAAAAACAGATTAAAAATATTATCGTCATCATCATCACGATCATTATTAAAATATTGTTATTACGCAGAGCTTAGTACCATAAAGTTTTACTTGAGCCAAATAATGACATAGTTATAGTGTTACCCAGCAATCCAAACAGCAGAATTGGACGTCGACCAAATTTATCAGACATGTAACCCCAGAAAATCGCGAAACAGAATTGAGCAAAGAAAAAGGATGAAGCTATAAAATATATTACATTATACATATATATAGATGTGAAATATAAAGAGAATAAAAGCGTGAAATAAATAATTCTCGTTTACTTATTAGACCAGCATAATACCCAATCTCTTTTTCATTATCGGTCAAATGAAAATCTCGAACCTATAAGTAATAAAATCAATAATAATAATGAATACATAAATCATATATCAAGAACAAATAAATTAACGATTACCATAAAATACACGAATGGTAATATAACAGTCGAACACATGGGTTCGCAAAACGTCACCATACTCAACACAAGCAACGGGAAAATCGGTAATGGTGTTTCTTTAACGGTGCCTACTGTTTCACTTCCTCTTTCCAAATCCTCATCTAAGTTTCTATTATTGCCTAGACTGTGATCATAATCGCCCGCGGACGTTAAATCATTTTTTTGATCTATTATTTTGGAACTCGTTGATCCGTCGAGATTATCTTGAGGTGCAGAAGAATGAGATGTTTTCTGAGCTTCTTTGCCCTTTGACGAGGACGACCAAGGAAAATTGTAAATATTAGAATTTTTACGTGTTAAAGCCATTTTGACAAAACACGGCAATTACAGTGTTTGTGGGAAACCATAAAAAAGGAGAGTTCTTACATACACAATAGAGTAAAAAATCTATTTTTTATTGTATATGGTCCGACGGCTATACATTTGACTGTATGCGATCAGATAACAACTTTTAAAGGAGCAATGAGCAATGATGACGATAATTTTTCACGCGTGATTTTTTTCATTCTGCATCACTTAATAATCATTGGTTGATTTGAATCAGATTTAGCATGATAAAATTATCACATGAAATTAAGCCTCCCTATTGGTCAAAAATTATTTCTTGGCGAAAGGAAAACGGAGAGCATTGTCTCCTTTTTGAGGATGTGATATCCATCCAATAGGCGGCATGCGGCTGGCAACCTATAATTTTTCCAAATAATCCTCCTAACCCTTTTTAAATCGATCTTTAATAATTTTCCGGAATCAGGAGAAAAGAATTTTTGAGCCACATATTACTGCGCCTAGACGTTGCTTTAGCGTATTCCCATTCTGCACAGCAGAAATAATTCTGCGCAGCAGATCTTTAAATTACTGTATATAATATCTGGAATTTTAATCAAGAATTTCACGCGTGACTTTTTAGCAGATCTTATCGAAATATTTTTTTTATTTACATACGAATTCATTCAATAAATAATTACTGTTAGATTAATGTTCGGATATGACTTCTATACCATTCGTCAAAGGCTCAGATTTTGAACACAATAAATTAGACATATTTCGCAATATCGTGTCCCATGAGATTGCAAAGTTATCTGAAAAGTCGCCGGAAGAAGTTTATAATTTGTTAGAAACACCTAAAAATTCAGAGCATGGAGATATAGCAATTGCCATTCCAAGGCTACGAATAAAGGGTAATCCTGCCGAGATTGCTCAGAGTTGGGTAGAAAAGGTAATGAAATAAATAACAACACATCAAAGTTACCTAAAAATCCTTAAAACAAAATACCTTTTCTCCTCTTAGTTTGTTCCGAATGAATATGTGATCTCTGCAACAGCCATCGGTCATTTTCTGAATTTTAAAATATCACATCCTCTTTTAGCCAAAATTTTGCTTCAACATATATACGATGCAAAAGAGAAATACGGTAGTAATAACTCCGCTTCAGGGAAGACAGCGCTAATTGAATTCAGTAGTCCAAACATCGCCAAACCATTTCATGCAGGACATTTGCGCAGCACCATAATTGGTAATTTTATGGGAAATGTGCTTGAAGCAAACGGATGGAAGACAATTAGGATGAATTATTTGGGTGATTGGGGAAAACAATATGGTAAATTGTTTTTCGATAAAAAAATGATTATTTAATCTCTATAAATAATTAGATTTCTTCTAATAACCCAGGTCTCTTGGCTATTGGTTTTGAGAAATATGGATCAGAAGAGGAATTGTTAAAAGATCCGATAAAGCATCTTTACGAGGTCTATGTCAAAATAAATGTAAGTGATAATAATATTAGTAAACATATGAAATGAATTAATTATTAAAACTTGAATTAATTTAGAAAGATGTGGAAACGGATAAAGATGTCGATGATAAAGCTCGTGCTTATTTTAAAAACATGGAAGAAGGTAATAACACAAATAGTCTTATTCAAAATTCTCATGATAAAAACTAATTGAATATTATTCGTGATAATCATAGGCGATCAAACAGCGATAGCATTGTGGGATAAATTTCGAAACTTGAGTATCAAAAAATACAAAGAAACTTACGCTCGTCTAAATATCAACTTTGACGTATACTCTGGCGAATCTCAAGTTAGTAATAAAAGCATGCTAGACGCATTAGCGTTATTAAAAGAGAAAAATCTTACACAAGAATCCCAAGGTGCTATTATTGTCGACTTAAAGAAATACAAGTTGGATGTAGCTGTTTTACAAAAAACCGACGGAACTACGTTATATATTACAAGGGATGTCGGTGCCGCTATTGAGAGATATGAGAAGTACAAGTTTGATGCCATGTACTATGTTGTGGCTTCGCAACAAGATCTTCATCTAAAACAACTATTTAAAATTCTTGAACTGATGGGATTTGATTGGGTTGATCGTTGTAAACATATTAATTTTGGTATGGTTCAAGGAATGAGCACTCGAAAAGGTACTGCAGTGTTTTTGGATGATATCTTGGAACAAACTAAAGAGGTTATGCACGAGGTAATGAAGCAGAACGAAAAAAAATACGAACAAATTGAGGACCCGGACATGGTGGCTGATGTAATTGGTATGTCCGCTGTCATGATCCAAGATATGTCTGCTAAGAGGTAAGATTAATGATAAAACAGTTAATTTATATATCTATTCGATATTGACATGATTTAAATTACAGAATTCGAAACTATACCTTCAATTGGACTCGTATGTTTTCATTTGAAGGTAAATGATATTTTAGAATTACTCTATTTAGTTGTTACCATTATTTCTTATTAATATTCATCTATTTTTTACGTTATCTTTTCAGGTGATACTGGTCCTTATATCCAATATGCACATGCTCGACTCTGCTCAATACAACGTAACTGCGGTCTATCGATCAATCCAGATGCCAAAATTGAATTACTCTCTGAAAAGCCGGCCTTGGAACTAATTGACATGATTTCCCAATACCCGGATGTAGTAAAGAGTGCCCTATATACGCTTGAACCTTGTACAATAGTGACATATGCTATGAAATTAAGTCATACGGTCTCGGTAGCATTAGAAACTTTATGGGTGATGGGAGCAGAGCGTGAAATTGCGGAGGCTCGATTATTGATGTATTGGGCGTCTAGAATAACCCTTGGCAATTCATTAAAATTGTTAGGATTAAAACCTTTGGAAAGAATGTAATAATCGGTGCTAACAAAATTTTAATAAAATTCTGGCCAGATTTATTCGTATTTCTGAATTTCATCGGAGATTAGAATAGAATTAGACAAATAAATCTAATTCTATTGCTTCAGAAGTTATAATGACATCACTTTTATAAAATTATGAATCATGCGAAATGATTCATATTCAATCATTCTGTCAGATATAAATAGAAGAAAAGTAATAAAAATATCGACCACGTGGATTTGTTTAGAACAAACACACTGTATCCAATCGTAGATCAACGTCGGGTGAAACCCTTTGATTCCTTAAAATGTTGACATATTAGTATTATCATTTGCCACCATGTGCACCCTTCTTTTTATTCTTCGAACGGCCGTTTTTTCCTAGGGATAATATTAATAGGTGATCAACAATATAATAGTTAGAAAATGCAATAATATTTGTACATCTTAAACTTTAACAAAGAAAATTGAGACCGAAATTTTAAATTCTCTCTCGTCCACTCACTTTTTCGGACCACGTCGTCCTACACTAACCATTTTATATCAATTCTTTTTGCAGTTTAGACACCTTTTTTTTAATTACTATATATCCTTAAATAATCTAAACTATAATAATACTTTTCCAAGACGCGCGCAGCTTGGATACCTGTCTTTCTTTTTCCAACCTCTTTTTCCGCTTCACGTTATTTATCATTTTCGCTCATATAACAACCGCAACAATCTGGAAGAATACGTAACTAACGACAATCTTGCCCTACTTTTTGTCTACTTCCGCTGCTGATATTTCCTCGCAATCCATCATATATTATTATATCTATTTAAAAAAGGCACACATTGTTGAACCGGAAAAATAATAATAAAATCATAAAATATAGAAATGGGCACGTTTGAAATTGCAAATATTCTGGGAAACCCCACTTTTCTTGGGTCCTTTGGTCTGGCAATTGTATGTATAGATGTATATTCAACGATGCACACACATCTCAATCGATGTGTGTTTCGATTTCTACTGCCTAGAATTTACAACGATTAAGGTTCTTGCAGAAGTTGCATATATTATATATGCGCCCATGACAAGAGAACTTACTTATATCAAAAGGGTTTTTCTTTCGTCTAAATTACCCGCAACCTTTATATAGATTGGCTGGTTGATCGCATTTATAGGTGCCATCGCTGGCAATGCATGGAGATTCACCTGGTTCGTGATATTCTTTGATATCTTTGTTCTTCTCGGCTTGTTTGTTGCCGTTGGCACCGATAGTGTACGATTCTACAGATTGGCTGTATCCTTTCTTCTTAATTTTACCTACTATATTATGTGGGACTGGATTTCGTAATGTTCCACGTAAATTAAGATGGTGCCATAAAATAGTTATAAATATGTTCGTTGGATTTTTGTGCAAACCCAACCAATGAAAAATTCAGTATTTAATCGTTATTCCTTGACCAGCTTTGCTCAAATTAGATTATGACACTTTTGGGTATTGGCATAACATTCAGTTGCGGGCAGATAGATGCTTATATATATGCAAAACAACCTGAATTTCAGGCAGTTGGTGCTGGATTAATCTTTCTATCGATGGTTGAGGTATGAGTTAATATTTTATTGAATTTTTTTCGTTGATTATTTCTCGTCCCCTTTTATAAATTAAATCATTTAAAATTGTAGCTATTTTGGGTATTTGTATTTGGAAGTGAAGAAGGATCATCTGTTCATAATAGTGTCAGCGCAGCTTCAGTTAACAAACCTTTTGAAACTAATCTCGCTGAAATTCGCACTGAAACTAGCCCCAACTTTGCACCACAAGCAGAAAATCGTGAGAGTCAAGTTGTAGTCTCACCAAATGCTGAATATGCTTATAGAGCCAGAGCACTGTATGCATGTAAGTTGGAAGCTTGAGGTTTGGATAATTTTGGGAAATCGGATTTAAGAAAATCAAGTATATACTTACTCATAACTACTTCATTTAGATCAAGCGAACCCAGAAGACCCGAATGAATTGTCATTCTCGAAAGGAGAAATTCTCGAGATTGTCGATAAGAAGGGTAAATGGTGGCAAGCAAAGAGAAGTGACGGTTCAGTCGGTATAGCACCAAGCAATTATGTAAGTTTGAGAAACATTCATTTGAAATTATACCAAGGATGAAGGCTAACTGTGATTAACTATTTTTTTTTTTAGCTACAAATCATTTAATTTTTGTAATTAATTTTTTTTCGATGCGAGACCCCAGCACATAGAAAAAATCCAAAATCGTAAAGACAAAGTTGAAAATCAGCATCATCCATCTAGCCCACCAACATATAGGAACCAGATTCCTTTAAAGAACACTATAACCTCAATCCACTAACATCCACAATCATATTAATCATTATCATTATAATTCATACATAGCATTTGTAATACTATATTTAATATAATCTAGCATCACGCAAAACATTTTAACGATATCCGTTTTTTAATCAATCATTGATTGTGGTTTAAAAACTATCAATCTTTTTTACACACTTTTCCTCTTACCTTCCCTTTATTTAACGTATCATTACCACCTTCAAACCAAAGCATTTCTGTTATTATAGTAAATAGACCTGTCTTTTTTACATATACATTTTATTGGGGGTACTTTGCATCGATTTTTTTCAACCTCACGATTTTTGATAATATTTATGTATTTATTTTATCATAACCTTAGTAGCCTTGAGATTTCCAAAACCACACAAACCCAATTTCAAGAGAGTACACACACATTTTTCAATACGCATAATGTAATTACTGATCTATTTTTTTAAACCCAGTTTTGTACTCATCAAATACACACACATTCCACACTACTTTGACATACTAATGCTGGCTAGGATTAATTAATTGCTGCTACATGATGCGAATTAAAAATTAATGTAATAAATAATAATTAAGAGAAACAAATTATTGTATTACAGTGATAATTATTATTTACTAATTAACCCAAGTATTTCCGCATCCAACCAGTAACCTGATCGAAAACAACCAATAAAATCCCACCACCAGGACCGAGACGTAAAACTTTTGGAACGAATCCTTTATAGAGCGCACCGATTCTATACGAAGGCATGTCGTTATTTCGAGAAATAAAAAAAAAAGATACATGACCAAATGAATTAATTCTTAGCATTAGAGGCAACTTACCCTTCTTCTTGAGCAACAGTTTTAATAGCCGGTAATGCCCAATTATACTTTCTCGGGATTCCCGAATCGTTTTGGACTCGTGTTTTAACAACATCGAACGGCGTATTAAGCATCGTGCCAACGGTTCCACCAATTCCTCCAGCAATAAAATTATTTCGCAATTCTGTTTGTTTTGTCTAATAAAGTTAAAATAGTGATTATTAAGAAGATCTTTAAAAGAATAGAATTAAATTGTTCACCATTAATTAGGAATATACTTGCATTTGCTTTCGGTAATAATGACCTAATAGTAAAAATTATTCCGAAATAACCTCCATTCCATGTTGCATGACGCCATATAGTTGCTTCAAGTCCGTTAAAAAGAGCCAAAGGTCCTAATTTCCAAAAAAAGAGACATGTGTATATTACTCGATGGTGAATAAGAGTATTGAATTACCTACCTTCTTGTTTGACAATTTTGGTTAGTGCATCAAAGGTGCCGTTATATTTTCCCGTCTGGTTAAAAATAATCACATGATATCTATAAATAATTAGTTTGTTTTCCTTGCATACCAAAAAAAAAATAAATAGATTGATCGCACATTATTTCTATCTTGAAGACGAATTTTCACTAATTCAAAAGGTACGATGACGACAGCCTCAGTGCATCCAGCGCCAATTCCTCCCATTATCGACATCCCTTGTGACATTGCATTTGTGCCGTAGATTGTTTTTAAGATAGTCGAGTATTGTTCATTTGCAGAAAATTTTATGGCGCGTTTCGGCGCTTCGACTAGAATAGGGGGAAGTATTCCTCGATAAAGTCTAGTGGGACTGTAAAAATAATAACCGCAAGCATTTTTTTTAGAGAAACTACAGAATTATTTCGAAAGCATATAAAACTATTGATGCTACCCTTCGTTTTTAATTATTTTTTTGAAACAGTCTAACACCGAAGTATAATGTTCACCAACACCAGTAACTTGCAGTTGAAATCGCGTCTTTACAACTAAGTTGATTGATCAGTCAATAATGATATTATTTATTATTGTTGATAAGAAAGAAAATATATATATATATGGAAGATAATTTCATGATAATTACCATCAAGAGGATACCTAAAATAAAAACCAATATAAAAATTAAATTTGATTATCCCGTATCGATTGATCATGAACGTTTCAATAAAATACATTTATTTCAGGTTATAGAAAAACTCACATAACAAGGATTTCACTAACACCCGCTATACCACCAGCCGCGAACTGGTACAGAAAAGGAAGCGCTGATGTCGGAATATGTGAGTAAAATTAAAGTTTTTCGAACACGTGAGTCGTTTTTTTCCTCGAGACTTTGACCAGTAAAAGGACGAACGAGGCGTCAATCAAATCTCTCTATAAAATTTAACAATGAAAAACACGAATTATTTTATATTTACGTTTGTTTGTGGTGGTTTGTGCCGACATTGTTACAAGATGAAGATAATTTTTTTTTGATTCACGTTAAATATCACGGCCGATCGGTTGATCCTTGCCGATATTGAGGTTTAGGTAGATTTTTTTACTGGCACTGCACCGATAACGATAATAAAATTGTTCCTATTGTTACATATACATGTACCTGATCAATGCGCTTGATGCTTTTGCCCATTTATTTAAAATTAATTTATTCGCGTCCCGCATTTGTCCCATTATATAGAGCATGACTATGCATCTTGAACCATATTTTGTGAGGAACAAGTATTTATCCTTTGCCAAAGACAAATTGTTATAATACAACATAATCAAAGTAATTACATATGAATAGCAATTTATAATAACAAAAAGAAAGCGATAGACAAATAAAAGATGTTCAAATGATTACATGTAAGCAGCAAAGCATGTCTTGTATAAATCAAAAGAGAGAAAACAGAATTTTGAATTCATGATTTAAAAATACAAGTCTCGAAATATAACTATAGTATAAGTTAAATCATTAATTATTTTGAATTATTTGACTGGGAAAGAATATTATTTGTTATAGATTTAGGCTGATGTGATTTTTTTTGTATAAGATGTTGCAGCTTGACTAGAAGCAGAAAACGACAAAAACGGTTGAATAAGATATATGTATGCATTATTGTTATTATCAATAAAACTTCATCCATAAAATTCTGATTCGCTTTTTCGCATATATTTTCGATATACCGTGTGGTGCTACCTCCTCCCGGGTCTGAATTGTTCTCTTCCAGATACAGCGTGATGAGAGATAGATCGCTTGTTATAGAAAACTTCTTGTTAAAAACATAATAGACCACAAGAAAATTTACCCGATCGCAAAATTACTTATCAAACATAATGAGGGTATGCAACATCATACATACAGTATATGAGATACGAAATCCTCTGTGTGGGAAAAAATGGGAAAAATTGGGTTACATAACTGCCATGTGTTTCAAAATACCCATTGTATCCAAAAACGGTTATAGTAACATCTAGTCAACCCACAAAATGGCCAATATTTTCTCTAATATTGTTGTTACCCATGACAAGGAAACTGATTCAGAAAATAACGAGTTCGAAAAAGAAGACGAACAAACAATCTGTGAAATGTAAATTTTAAATTAGGAAACGATCAATTCCCTTGAGAATCATAGAATTTAAATTCTTTATTTTTAACGTCAAAAGATGCAAAAGGCAATTTTCGAAGTATACTTGTCCGCGTTGTAATATTCGATATTGTTCTTTGAACTGCTATAAAAATGAGGTTTTTTCCGTTAATTTCTCTCGTTGCATTCAAGTATCTCACGATTATACGAAAAAATACTTATAAAAAAATTGGTATATAGCAACACAATACTTGCACAGAAAATTTCTACAAAAGTAGCATCATCGAGGAAATAAAGAGCAAAAATATGGGTGACGAAGAAAAGCAAAAAATGGTTGAACTCTTGCAACGATTTGAACGAGAAGGTGATGAAATGGCTGCAGAAGAATTGATGGATGATACTGATGAGGAGGTTGAAAATAACGATGGTATCAATTAATCTATTTACCTACATCATCCTAAGAATTTGTGCATATTCATTAATTAAATCAAATATTATGTGTGATCGATAGATTTATTTGAAAGATTCAAAAATTTGGATATTGGTAAGAAATCTGAGCTCATTTTCTTAATCTTTGTTTGAGAACCTTGACCATATTTTTTTTATTTCTATTGCCTAAAGGGTCAGCTTCTTTTGAGACAATATGGAGTCATTTAAATGCACGTGAGAGAGAAAAAATAGAGCAAGAATTTGAGAAAGTTTCTCGAACAGGCAAAATGGGAAATTTGACGGCAGAAATTGCTTCAGAGATAAAATTATGGCAACCTTGGTGGGCAACAAACCAAGACGAGACAATCAAATCAACTAAAATACAAAGTTTAGACGAGATGGAGGAAACGCGTGAACCTTCAATTCTTGAAAATATCCAACCATTGGAAGAATTGACTAAAACGCCGCCAGATCCAGCTATCGTATTCCATTTAGTGAATATTTTGTATCCTTTCGAAATGATAGGAATAAAATATTGGACTTTTTGAATGCACTATTCTTGACTCGTTCTATATCATAATAAAGATTCGCATATGCTCATACATGTCGATATTTGAACGGAGAGCTCTTCGAGGATTCACAAGAAACTTGTCATATTCTCTTGGATTTATCCTCAAGTTTGTCTTCGAAAACAACGTTTGTCTATGAGAATGTATCTGAGGCTATCTCAGTGAATTTGCGGTCCATTGCTGAGGTTAGAATTAACGTTGCGCTGTAAATTTAAGTGAATAAAATTATATCTTAAATCTTTACTCGTTTATGACGCAGCACTCCAAACATACACAATCACCGGAATTCACGATAACCGTGCTCAAAGACCTGATGGATATTCTTACGTCTGCTAACAACGTTCTCATCGCTCTTACTGATCTCTATAACCTTTTTCATAACATTAACTCTAATTCTATGAGTGTTGATCCTTCTCTGACCCAAAAGAATCGGCTATCTCGCGAAGAAAGAAAACAAGCTTTTTTCACAGAAAAGAAAATTTATTTCTATTTGGTCTACGCCAACTCTGTATTGAAAGAGAATACCGAGCTCTTGGAAGGATTAAAGTACGCCGTGGAGCTTGATCGACATACGCGTAGACGAGAGTTCCAGGAATTCTGCAAAGGAAAAGGAATAATGGAGCGATATTTAAAAAGTGGCAAAAAGGAACATGCAAAGGATAATTTGATTGAAGTGCTTCCTTACCAACCCGCTTCCAAAAAATAATCTTTGCACGTTTAGAAAATATTATTTTTTCATTTGAGATCTTTGTTTTTCTCTGCGAATTTATTAATATTAATTAATCTGCCAGAGACCAAAAAATTTGTATAAGCTTGATTTTGTATACATCAATTAATTATATTAATTATTTCGAGTTTAATAATAACAGTAATATAATGTAATAATCCCGCGTAGGCTCATTGGAAATAATTAAATTGTTCTTTGCTTATGCAAAACACCTGGACAAAAAATACATTTTTTAATCGTGAGCGCGGGTGATAAATGAAGAAGGTAAAAATAAATTGTCTATGATACGTTAGCTTTTTGGGCAAATTGTACAAAAATGAAATATTGTAAGAATGAAATAAAAAAAAATGAATGTAAGATATCTTTACAGATTCTATTAAATATAGTATATATAGACTTATTTATATATATATTATATGCATAGTCATCAATTAATCGTGTTGAAATCTAAGATCGCTCATCATTTCTCTTTAATAATCAAATATCATAAATATCGTCAATCAAATGGTTCGATGTTATTCGGATCATAAGCAGAATCGCGTTCATCTTGTTGCCTATTTTGTTGTGCATTTTGTTGTGGAGTAGACGGATATGTTCCTGGCAAATTCCAATTTGTATGAGATTGTGAAGATGATGTTTGATTCCCATTAAAGTTACCGTTAAAACTACCGGTATTAAAGTTACCATTACTTCCATTCCTACTAAAATTTCCGTTTGAGCCGTTACCACCACCACCACCACCACCAAAAAAGGCACCAGCAAATGAACCAGAAATACCACCACCTCCTCCACCGCCACCACTACCATTATTATTACTTCGATTCTGATCGTTTGTTCCACTATCTTGCTGTTGAACCAGCGAGTACCGACTTAATTACCATTTTTAAAAGACACAAAAACACATATTACTTGAAATTATTATCAGAAGTATTTACCAAATTAGATAAAAGCACAAAAATTGACATACCACACCGGGCAAGTTCCGTTCATTTTTAGCCAAGGTCTGATACATTCGTCATGAAAAGAGTGATTACATGGTAAGGCTGTGGCTTCTTCACCTTCCTTAAAGTCGTCTTTGCATACTGGGCAATTCAATTGTTCCTCCACTTTTTAAGTAAGAGTTTACATTACTATTAGTCAGACGATTTCTTAGAGAACAGTGGAGAAAAAATTTCCATGGAATTTTTATTATTAGTTTAATTTCATAAATAGAATACTGACCCTCCTGTTTTTTACTTATTTTTGTCTTCGGTAAACCATTTATCATTTCTTCGGAAGCTGGAGGTGGCGCTTGTCTTCTAATTCAAAACAAATTATCAATTAAACGTATTATGTCAAAATAAAGATAGTAAAAAGTAGTGACTACAAATAAATAAATAAATAAATATATACATATATCATTTTTTTTATTTATTTATTTATTCATATAAAAGACACATACCCAGCTTGTTGTTCCATTAACTGTGAGATTATGTTGTCTAATCCACCTGGACCCCAAACGTAATCCCGTGGATCACCAACCATATTGAATACATTTGTCCAAGGATTATTAGCCCCCTGCTGTGCACCTTCGCCAAATGCTCGTTGCAACACTCTATAGTATATTATATGTATTTAATTATGATTATTATTATTATCATTATCATCATCATCATCATCATCATCTCATCATCATCCTCCTTCTCCCTCCTCATCATAATAAAATCAGATAATATATAATTAACAAAGAAAAAAATTCCTACTGGGTAATAATCATTGGAGCGTTAATTCGCGCGTCACCACCACCTTCTTGTCCTCCATTTGCTCTCATTGTGAAAAATATATTAGGACGAGTATTTCCTTGTGGTTGATCTGTTGTAGTTGTGGTTGTAGTGTTACCATCTTCCGTTGTTATGCTCGTGGTGGTGGTAGTTGTTGTAGTGGTAGTATTCCCCTCCTCATTACTATCTCCATAAGTCCTTGTCTCTACGTGAAGTGGAGCATTTGGGCCAAAAATTGATTGTATCATGTTCGATAATAATTGCACTACATCATTTGATCCGGCTCCGCCAGGAGTAGCATTCAAATTAGGACCAAAATCTTCAAATTCATCATCTGTTTCGTGTTCTTGAGTATTATGTTCTGCAAATTCTCTTGGATCATTACTTTCATCAATCTATCAATGTGTGAAAAATATATAAATTAGTATTGTCAGAAGGAAAAAAGGGGGAAATTCTTCAAAGCAATGAACTTTTATTTAAAATCAATATCCTGTGAGTTAAGTAAGAGTGAAAATCAAGTGCACCTCTTCCACAAAATCGCTATTACATCGCGGACAAGTAGGTAATGGAGCCAGTAAAGGCTCTATTTCCCGCTGACATTGATGACACCAATAAGGGCGTCTATTAGCACTATTGTTGTTATTACTGGGATTGTTACTATTGAATTCCGAAATATCGGACATAGCAGCAAGAATTTATCCAAGGAAATGTGAGTTTAACGTAATTTTTAAATGTAAACAAATATAAATAAAGGTTTTATTAACGTTAAGATATAACGATAATTTTTTCTAAATTATGCACACACGTAACCTCTATATCAGCAAGGATCAACCTTGTGTCGCGGTCAGCCGATATATGTGATACTGAAAATGAGAGCCATATCGGTATGGGATAACAATAATTATGGGGGATTGCTAAATTATGCTAACACTAACTAAATTAACATGTTAATGGGGTGCAATTTTGGAATTATTACATGATCTATCAGAACAACTGTACAAATAAGTTGAAATCATTACAATAAGCGCACCAATCGCGAATTGTGAACTTGGTTGAAAATGGAAAAAATAAAAACTAATCACTCCTGATACGATAATTGACAGAGAGGTGGCAAATCCTTTTAATATATTATCAGCATATTTAACCACCATCGCAACCAATAAACCTCCCAATGCTTGATTTGCAACGACTGCGAATGTCAATGAATTATACCCTTGAAAAAATCCATCATTCAAGATTTCTTGACCATCATAAAGTATCATTGCAAGCATGGAAAACGTCGAGCCCGAAACTCCCAATTGAATATTTCTGACCCACATACTCGTCTCAGAACTCTTTAAGATTTTTTCGAAATAACAGCCCGCAAATCCTGATGAAACACAAGAAGTGAGAACTGCGATCAACCCGATTAAGGGATTTTGTGCTGCCATCAATATATGCGTGGCAGTGGTGGATGTTTTAGAGGTAGAGGTGGCGGATGTTGGCTCCTCTTCATTGTAATTTTTTAGGTTGAATATTTGATTATGATTATTATTATTATTATTATTATGATTATTATTATCATTATTATTGGTGTTTATATCCGACGAATTAAAGGATAATGCTGTATTCGTACTCTCGTCGCTTATAACATGATGATTGACCGTCTGCAGTTGCACAAGTGTAACCCCAATCATGAGTAACACCAGAGCCAACCATTTACCGCGACTTAGTGATCTTCCCAGCAATAGAATAGAAAAAATAGCCGTCGATAATATTTTCATCTGATATGTGACTTGAAAAGTGGCTGCCTCCAAATTTGACAACGCGACGTAGAGAAGATTATTTTGCAACGCATAAAGTGCAGATGGGATGATCATTTTTATTATTTCGGTTGGTTGTCCAAAGATTTCTTTTTGAATAACATTAATGAATCGTTTCAATGTCCGCTTTTGAATGTAAAGCACTATCAAGCAAGCTATGATTTTCAATATCTCCGCGAGGAACACCGCTGTCGATGCTATGTACACTTGTTCGGGTGATTTATGTACACGTGAGCGCCGCATCATTAATACCAGTGTCGAGTTTTGAATCACTAATACAAGCAATGATAATTGTGCCGTCGTTAAAGGAACACGCCGAGAATCTGCATACGGATGTGAATTGGTTAACAAAGTTTTGAGATGCATTTGATACAAAGTTCAATTTCAATCCCTTTAAAAAAGAGCATATATTCAGATTAAATCGAATCGAAAGATTTAATGCCCATGAAAATTTGAATGCTCTACAATCTAAAATACCAATTACACCCAACTGTTTTTACCTATTGGAGACACACATTTGGCAGGCTTATGACTGTTCGAAATCGGAAGAGCACCACCTTTCTCATTCAAATGCGGTGAATTGTACATTGCTATTCAATGTGTTTTTTATTAGATATGAAGACTTATAGTTAAAATTCTAAATTCTATTCCAAGTTTACGAATCTTAATAGTTTTAAACGAGAAGAGGAAATAGTTTATTCTAATATTTGTCGAGATGGCGGGATGTGAGCCTGCAACAAAGTAATATGTAGTAATAAAAAGGGAGGGGAACTGCTAGACAACAGTTCAATAAATTATCTAAAATCAGTAACAGCTTGTATTTCAACAGAAGCGGCGCTACGCTTCTTTGTTATGCACAAAAAGGGTAAGTTTTTTGAAATTTATTTTGAAAGCGAAAACGTGCGGAGATTTTTATTTTTAATTTAAAAATGTGACACAAAATCTTAAATAAACCACTTATCCGTATCACATCTTTTTGACGATGAATTTCGACGACGACGACAAAAAACTTCACACTTTGACTATCAATTCTGAATATGCGAGACGTTATGAAGAACGAAAAAGGGGCGAAGAGTTTTCAAAACGTATGTACATGGAAACTACTCGTTTTCTCGAAACTTTACTTCATATTGACACTCTTTTCCTTTCAAGTCAAGGAAAAATATGGTGAAATTTCAGTTAGAAAAATAGACTCTGAAGACGATGACAGCGAGTTAAGTAGTTCGGAAGAGGAAGACGAATTTGGCGAGCTGGTTACTCCAGAAATTGACGCACAGATAATGAAAACAATAACCGCAATCCGAGCCAAAGACCCTAAAGTATATGATAATAATGCGGATTTTTTTGCTGGTTAGAGTGTATATTTAGATTTTTTTTTGATTCTTAGGTTTAAATATAATTTTAATCCTTTTTTTTTTTGCGTAGATGAAGAAATCAAAAAAGCACGAAAAAATTGGAAGGAAAAACAACAAAAAAAGGCATGCATTTTTTTAATTGATCTTCTTAGCTTTCATAATGTGAATATATGATTAATTCGACTTCATTTTGATTACAGTCTCAATCCAAGCCATTGCGAATTGCAGATTATCAGCGTAATGTTTTATTAGAGAACGGAGGAATTGTTGATGAGGATGATGACAACGACTATCGAAAAAAAACTAGCAATGAAAAGCGTGAATTAACTCATGTGGAGGAACAGGAACAGCTAAAAAATGAATTCAAGGCTGCATTTTTTGCTGCTGATGATGATGCTGAGAAAGAAGAAGATTTTCTGGTGGAAAGATCAAAAACTGCTGAAGAATTAGAAGCTGAAGAAGAAGACTATCGAAAATTTTTATTGGAGAATATGAAGGTGGAAATTACAAATCAATTTAATATTAAGAAAGAATTTTCCGTCATTAAAGAATAAATTCCTTTCAAAAATTTCTCAGGATGAAAAACATGGAATTTTACAGCAATGGCAAGACTTAGAAAAAGATTCTAGTCAAAATCCGGACGAGGCATTTCTAATGGAGTAAGCTATTGCGTTTAAGATTTTCTATGTAATAGATAAGTTGCTAATTTATTTACTTAATAAGTTACATTCTTAATCGTGGATGGATCGATAAAAATGATAAAAATGCCACCCGAATTCCAACATATAAAGAGCTTGTCGAAGAGCATCATGATGATGAGGAGGAGGAGGATGAATTCGAAGAAGCTGTTGATCGATTTGAAAGCAAATACAACTTTCGATTTGAAGAAGAGTAAGCAAACATTTTTATATACTTTTAATTATTCGAAATTCTTAAGCTATATCTCATAATTTATTCTCTAGAGGAAGTAGTAAAATAATTACGCATTCTCGTAATATTGAAGGTTCTGTACGAAGGTAAACAAACGATAGATAATTTTTTTTTGCTTGCTTTAAAGTCATTCATTCTGTTATTTGTAAATAGAAAAGACACCAAGCGTAAACATCAACGACAAGCGCGTGAAGAACGCAAAGAAGAGGAGAAATTGAAGAAAAGGGAAGAATTAAAAAGACTAAAAAATTTAAAGAAAAAAGAAATTCACGAAAAATTGATGCAAATTAAAGAAATTACCGGAAATCCAAGTAAATTTATTACTCTTATTCAACATAATCAAATGTCTACCACATCATTCATTAGTTTATGATAAAAAAAGATGTCGGATTCGACGATGTTGATCTGGAGGAAGATTTTGATCCAGAAAAATATGACAAGAGAATGAACAGTGTATTTAATGAGGATTTCTATGAGCAGGAGGTAAACCCGAAAATAATATGGTGATTTTGTATCTTTATCCGTAATTAATATTGGGACTATTAACAAAATATAAGGATGAGGACGAAAAACCTGAATGGGATGATGATATTGATATAGATGATATTAAAGACAGAAAGAAACAAAAATTTAACGAAAAACCTAGATTGGATGATGAAAGGAAACGAAAGTTTGACGAATATTTAGATGAATATTATCAACTCGATTACGAAGATATCGTAAGTAATTCTGGTAGATATATCATATAGAAAAATCTTTTTCTCCTTGATTAATTTATTTTTAAATCTAATTTATAGGTTGCCGGTATTCCCGTACGTTTCAAATACGCACAAGTAAAACCAACCAGTTTTGGTCTCACTCCTGCAGAAATATTCTTATCAGATGACAGAGACTTGAATGAATATATACCACTAAAAAAACTAGCTCCGTATGTATATTTTAATTGGTAATGCCAACAAAAATAACTAATCTAATATTATTTGTTGTTAAAGATTTCGACCGGCGAGCGTAGTACGAAAAGATTTAAAAAAATATTCGAAAAAGAAACGACTGCAACAATTCCGTAAAAAGCTGGAAAACTTGGAACGCGAGCAACCGCCTCCAAATAGCTCATGGAGTATTAAAACAATCAAGCGTAAAGCAGAACAAGATCGTTTAAAATCTGCTGAAGGTAACAAAAAATTAAAAACTGATAATTCGGATGAGAAAAGCTCAAAATCAGATAAAAAGAATCTTATAAATGGAAGAAAAAAGAGAAAACCAAATAAAAGTAGAATGACAAAAAAATTTAGTTAATTAATTTAGAATAAATTATTTTGTATTAAATAATTAAAATTTCATATTTATTCTGTTATTTGTAAATACACTGTTATTATTGATTACCTTCAAAAGCTTAGATACAAGTGACTTTTATTTCTTTTATGCCTAACATAAATTGATAGTGAAAGAACTCACTCTAAATAAAACAAAAATCTTTGTATTTCTTGTTAATTGGCATTGGATAGGTCCAATTGTTGAGTTCACTTTACATTATCTAGTTGAGTATCTTTGAAAAGAAAATAATAGTAGATTCATTAATCTCAGCTATAAAAAATCAACTTGAATAAAATTAGTTTATTTATATAAGACACAAGAAAAGTTTGTATATTATAACTTTTATATTAGAAATATATTTCTCAGACAAAAGTTACTGATACTTTTATTTTAATAAATTTATTAATATTTAGTAAATTTATCATTATTATCAATACATACCTGAATTCTTCTAGATATGCTTTTAATTAAATTTAAATATTTATTTAGTAAAATACTATCATTCTTTTTGTAAAGTAAAAAATAATTCTTATTTATGTTTTGGTCTTGATGAATATTTTCTTAATTACTTCTTAATTTATTTCATAAATACTCTATAAGATTTAGATCTAATAACTAATTATTAACTTTTTCTCTTAATTTAATATCTAATTAGGAAAGTATTATTTATTATATAATTTGAGAGATAAATAAATGAATTAGACTGATATCAGATCTTATATAACTAATTATATACTTAATATTATTACAATGCAGACTACTTAAAGATCTGAGTCATATGATTTATCTTATTTTGAAATCTCAAAATTTAAAATTTTAAAATTAGCTAAAAAATTTATTTTTTAATATTTTTAAAATAATTACGTGATTAAGTTATATGTAAATATTTAAATAGTTTAAAGATCATTATTTTTTTTTATAAATAAAGTTAATTTACTTTTTAAAATTTACCTATATAACTTAAATTTTTTATAAGCATATTCTACTAATTTTCTTATTAATCTCTTATAATATAAATTCATATATCTTCATGATTTTTGAGTAAATTTTCTAATTATTATAACATTAATTGAATCAAATACTTATAAAATTACTTCTTATGACTATCTTTCAATATATTTTAATAAAGTTAAGTTTACAATAAAATTTTAGATAAAATATATATAAATAATTAGCATTCTTTATTAATTTTATAATAGCTAACTTTTGGATGACAAAGTCTAATTAAGAAGTTATAATTTTTCTTGAATAATAATCTATTTATGAAGAATTTTCTGATAATTGCTTATTCTTACAAGTTTGACAACTTAAAGATAATCTCTTTCTTCAAAATTCTTTTTTTTTTAATATTTTTCTTATTTCTTTTAGCTTTTCTTGCATAGCTAAATTATCATAATCTTTATCAAATACTATATATTAAGATTTTTATTATTTATCAGAATTCACAAAAGTTATTGATTATATTATTAGTTATTTTTCTTCAAAATCAAGATTCATTCTCATAGTAATAAGAACATCTTTTCTAAATATTATATGATTTATATTATTATCAAAGATAAAGATAGCTATTATATTAGAAAACTTGACTTTAAAAATAAGAATTACTTTATTTTTAATTTGATTTAATAAATAATTAATGGTCTAATAATCTTCTTAATTTCTGCTAAATATAAAATTATAATATACTTTGATTAGGATATTTAGATGTATTATTAACTCTTTCTCACTTAGTCTCAATTAATCACATATTTCTAAAATAAATTCACTGATCATAATTGATCTTCTATTTTTCTTTTTCTATAATAATATCTTTTTATTTAGTATTCAAATCTATTTTTTTCTATTATTTGAATAAAAAATATATTTGTCATGAGTAATAAAAATTAATTCTTATTCATTTTCTTCAAGTATTGATAGAACTTTTCTTATTTTTTTTTCTTATACTTTATTATTTGTCATTTTAATTCTTGAATTTTTTCTAAAAATTTTTTTCAATAAGTAATAATATTTTCTTGCTCATGTTCATCAAAATATATTTCTTTTTAATATTTTTTAAAGTAATATTCTAAAGTATTTAGTCATCTCTTTATAATTCATATACTAATTATTTTTTTAATTCTTCCTATATACTCTAAAAATAAAATATCATTAATATACTACTTAAATTAAAATGAATAAATATTATTTATTTCTAATTCTTGCCATATCTATTATTAATATTGCAAGATAATATCTTCATTATTGATAAGTTATTTGTATTTTTAATATTAACTGCAATATAAAAGTGAAAATGAATTATGATATAAATAATATTTAGTCAAAAAATAGATTTTTTCAACTATGTATAATCTTAAAAAAATATAAATCATATATATAGCTTTTTCACTTGCCTTTATCTTGTTATTACTATTATTTAATTATATAAGATACTTATAGATAACTTACCATTTATTATATTTCAATATAGTAAATATTTGTATATTTTTCAAAGGATTTTTTTAAAGTTAAATAATTTTTTTATGAAGAATAATGATTGATATAACTTTCATATCATTTTTATCTGTTCAGATCAAGAAATTTAAAACTCTTATAGATTTAGAAAAAATAGAAAATAGAGATATCAAAGACCTATTAGTAAATTCACTTGTCAAAATACTTGATTCATTTATAATCTTAAAAAAATTCATGATTTTATAAGTTTTCTTGATAATATTAGCAAGAATGTTAGAGTTATCAAACTTCTAATAATAGGTTATTTTTGATATATCTTTTATTATTTTTAAGTTTCTTTATTCTGTATCTTTCTTTTATATAAAAAAAGTAATAAGTAAATAAACTTATATCTTTTTTTCTTCCTTCTCCTCCTCTTTAACTTCATTTTTCTTCTTGTTATCTTTCATCTTCTTAATATTATTCTTTATCTTAAAAACTAAAAATCACTCTTTCCAGTTATTTAAAAGTAGTTCAACTTCTATCTTATTATTATTTTTCATTTCATTAACTTTATCTTTCTAGTATTCTTTAATTTCTATTCTTTTTTCTCTTGTCAATCATCTCCTCTTATTATTATATTCTTTGAGCTGAATATATTTTTTTTAAATCATGTTATATTTTATTTGAAAGTATACAATCATAATAATATTAAATATTATCATGTGATAAAGAAATAGCTAATAAAATAATTTTATTCTTAATTAATAAAATTAGATTCACATATATTATTATTTGATTAATTTATTAATATATCATATATTATAATTATATATTCTATTTAACTTTGATTACTATTAAATACTATTAAATTTACCTATTTTTAAATCAAAATATGTTATAAAAAATAATTTTTTTTAAAAAAAAAGCTGATAATTTATAGTAAATTAATTTAATTTTAAAATAGTGACTTTATTTTTTTCTGTATCTTGCTCTATTATCTTTTAAAATTATTCAAGTCTTTAAATAATCTGCATTATATATAATTTTATATAAATTATATAATATATTTAATATAATTTTGTAATAATTTTTTTTATTTTTTTCAATTTCATATTCTTTTCTTTTTTTTTCTTTATCTTCTTCTCTCTCTTTCTCTTTTTTTTCTTTCTTTTTTTCTTTTTTTTACTTATTTTTTTTATTCAAGTATCTAATTTATTTTATATCTAATTGTATCTTGCTTTATTTAATAATTACTTATGAAATACTCATTAATATATTCTTAATAATATTTAAAATCTATATTTTTTATTTAAATAAATATTCATCTTTTAAAGAATACTTACTTTACTTATGATTAGTTATAAACTTAAGAAATAAAAAATATTTATTACATATATTATAATATAATTATTAGTATTATTATAATATGAACTTTTAAATATTTTTAGAAGATTTTGTAAATATAATAATTATAATAAAATTATTATAACAAAGTTAGTAAAATTATTATAGCAAAATTAATAATACTATCATAATAAAATCAATATTATAATACTAACTAAAATAATATTTAGATCATAATAAAAGTAGTATAAGTATTATAATAAAAATATGATATATCTTAACTAATAAAAAAAAAGAAGTTAAATATTTAATAAATTAATTTATTAATTTAATTTGAATTTTATAAGTTTAGTTTTCAATTCATATTTTAAGTAGATTTTAGTTAAAAAAAAATTCTAAGAAATATCTCTTGTAAAATAGATCTTAATTATTTTATTTTATTAATAAATTAATTATATATCTGTCTTTAAAATATATTTTGAAATTAGATTATATTCTAGCTAATTATATTAAAGAACATAATTATTATTTATTTTTAGAAATAATCTTTGAAACTTCTATTAGAAAAATATATTCTAATTAATACATTATAAAAAATTTTTTTATATCATATTCTTAGTAAAAATACATATTTTTAATAGTTTAAGAATTATACTCATCTCTTAAATTAATACTCATATCAAAAATAATAACTTTTGATATCCTTTCTATAAAAAATAATTCCAAAATAATTATTCAATTTAACTTAAAGTTAAAGATAAAAAATTCTCTATGAATTAATTTAAAATTAGTAAAAAGCAAAGATAATTAAAAGAATAATTATATAATATATCAAAGTGAATTCAACTAAAAAAATCTAAGCAAAAAGAGAAAGACTCTTTAGTCAACTATTTACTTAATTATATTTTGAAGATTACAATAATTTAGATTGACAAGTTATCTGAAAAAAATTTTATTATTTTCATCAAGAAATAATATATAGTGAAACTTAAACAAAGACAAGAAAAGAATTTGCAACTTTAATTAAAAATAAAATTGAATTATTATTAAAATAAGTATAAATTTATCTCTATCAATTATAACAAGAAATATTTGAGTTCAAAAATAAAAAAAGCAAATATTTAATAGAATAAAAAAAGTAATAAATTTTACTTGTAAAGATATTTAATTTAAGTTAGTCAAAATCTAATTTGATATTTTATAAT